TACAGTTCACACAGAACTAGGGCGACATCCAAACCCACGGTATCTTGCACCAACATATAATTTTGAATATTCTGCAGTGTGACTCTTCTCCAGCAGGTGGCCTGCAGGCATGCAACTTGTGGAAGTGCCTTACTCACAATAGTGTTCAAAGATCACCAAATCAGAAATATAATTCAGTCTTGATTCACAAATAACTATAATACATATTTTTTTGTGTAATGGGCTCCTACGCTCTGGCAGTGATTATGGGATACTGATAATATGTGCTTTTTCTGTGAAATGTGTTTTCATTGTATTCTGTTTTGCCACAGTGGATTGAGTAAATTCTTTATGCACATACAATTTAGCCATTATGTAACTGCATAATGTGTATCTATTTGTGTACAGTAGGTAATTTTATTCACTTGCGTCATCAGATCCAAAATGTCGCTATTTGCATATAAACGTGTGCCTATTTGTATGTTAAAATGTTTTTCTTGCTCGTTTTATTAAGCATTATGCTTTGATTGGTCATAATAGCACGATTGATTGTTACTTTGTGTGTGTTTCTTTTGAGTAAGCGTGTCAGAATCCAAAATATCGCTTATAAAAAGAAGACCTGCCCAAAGTATGAATATGCTGCCCCCTTGTGACTGTCTTTATTTTTGCACTGAGCGTCGACAAACTGAATAGTAAGGAGCGTAGCAGGTGGTACTTTGAGCATGGGACTTTATAATAAAAAGCCATGAGCATTTGCGGCTTTAACGTGTTGTCCCTTTAACGTGAAGTGTTAAGCATTTTGTGAAATAGCTAGTAGCTTCTGCATCACACGTACTTCTAGTGATTGGTTATTACTTTACTATAAATTACCAGGGGTATCAAAGGAGTATGGATATGCTGGCAGATTCAGAGGTGCTTTTGAATAATTTAAATTATATGTAAAATTGGGCTGGGGGGCCCAATGTGACATTTTGGCGGGGGGGGGGCAGAATTTCTAGGTATGTCCTTGGCAATTACATAGTCTAGTCAGACCTGGTGGATGGTATCAATCAGGCCACCAAACACACTTCAAATTCCTCCCACAGTCCAAGGATCCCTGCCCCTGTTACCAGACTATTGTGAGTGCTGTGGTTCTTGGGAACAGACCGCTAACTTTAAAATGTTACTTTTATTGTAGTTTTATTGTAAGTATTATGTTAAAATTCAGAGATCATCCCCCTGTCCATATGTGGACAAATGTGCCCGTGGCAGAATGTTTTGACTGTGAAAAGAAAAACCTCTATGCAGGGTACATTGGTAAATATCATTAACTGTAAAAATTGCTTTTTCATCAAAAATTCTTTTGTAATGCTGTATGGTGCTGGCCCCTCTTAAAATTTCAATTCAATCCAGTTTTACTATACGTACCGAATAGTAACACCCATCTTCCAACTGCTTATTCAAGGTAACATTGTTTACTGGTTATATTTAAATACAGTATATTAATAACATCAAAAACTGCATCTGTCCATGAGGCTTGTAAAAAAAAGTTTTCCTTTCATCTGTATGTAATTTTTCGGAGTCAGGGTCAATCCTCGAATCAAAAGTTAATGAGAGCTTAGACAAACTAATCTTAAACCAAAGGTACACTAGTCATTTACATTTGCCTGAAGAGCACTTTTACCCCATTCTACATCCAGCAATTTACAGTGAAAAATGTTACTTTTATGAAACATCAAACAATGCCTACAAACACTGGCCTCTCTGGTCTTGGTCTTGAGCCTGTTCTAGACAGCTATCATAATCGAAGACAGTTATAATGCTCTGATTAGCTTGATTTAACTTCAGCAAAATTTGCACGCTTGGTCTTCTCTGTCTAATAAAATGTTAAAATCTCTACTGTGCATAGCTAAAACATTCAGGAAGTTCTAAAATAATTTCTGGATTTATTTTGATTTTTTATTATTCATTTGCAATTACAAATTTATATCTTGCATCCCTACATCGATCACTCGATCTTTTAGCTATAACTGTAACATTTTAGCAAGCATTGTCCTGTCTGTGTTTGCAAATTGTTACTCTCGGGGCTCCAAACTAATCCATGGCCAGATCCGTGATCCAGCCCAGATTTTCAACAAAACCAGCCATCCTTCCCTGATCAACATTATTAAATCCAGTTTATAAAATCCACCTGGTAAGCATTTCCTGTTTGACTGGTTGTTTTCAGCAGCGCCTTCTGAGGTGTTTACTCTGTAAACTGGTTGGTAGTTGATATGAGTGTAAGTTTCCCTTCAAGTATGGCCCTTTTGCCTGGTTTTTTGGCATTATGATTTGGATTCTGATTCTGGTGGATTTTTTTGTTTTTTTACTGATTGTCAGTAGATGCCTTTGTATTTTGGATTCTGTTTTGGCATTGGTGAATAAGTGACCGTGGAATGCAAGCAGACCTCAGGCATGTTCATCCTGGTTACAAGTTTGTGTCCAATTCAATGCTTTATCTTCCTGTGTAATACAATGTTGTTACTGCAATTTGTATCTTCTCTAAATAGCCTGTGTATCTCAGCTGAATGCTGCCACCTACAGACCAGTGAAAGTCAGTATTGAGGTGGCAGATAACGCCGTCTCTCCCAGGGTAAACAAGTCAAAAAGCTACAGTAGGAATGATGTCGTCTTGGTAAATCTTAACACCAAAAGGCTTATGTCATGGGAAAAAGGCACTTAGACAATTGAGTAATAATTGTAAAATATCAGAGGAATAAACTAAATATGTTTCCAACATGTACCTTTCCTATGCTAAGCTAAGCTTGGGAGAATGACTTTTTCCTCAGAATTCCGACTTTAGAAAAAAGTCAGAATTCTGAGATTAAAGTCAGAATTCAAATAATATTTTCATGGTGGCCCTAATCCTTGCAGTGATTATGCAAAAAATGGAAATGAAACTGTTGGTGTAGATGATAATGTGCAATTTCCAAAATGCAAAATTCTCTATGAAATGATGTAAAAGTTGCTGTACAAATGTTACCTCCTTACTGATCATTTGTCTTTACTCCAATATCGTCCTCCTCTAATTTGCATCTCGTAACACAAATCCCACTCATCTGCATATTACTTATCCACTTCATGAACATGGTTGCTTTTTAAAATAAATTTTATATATATAAAACATCCACACATAGGGCCAGGGGTGAGAATTGAACCCCCAGTCCCTAATGGTATAGGCTATATGCTACCCAGCTAACCGCTCAGTCACCCTTTCGGTGTAGATCAGGTCTATTCAAATCACGGTCCTCAAGGTCCGAGCCCTGCTGATTTTCCAGCCTTCCTTTACCTGTGAGCCGGGTATGAAGCCTCTGTGGCCAATCAGAATCAGTAATTATTAAACCAACTACCTGGGAGCATTGAAAACAAGGCCTGGATTTGGATTCGAGGTCTAGATTTGAAGATCCCTGGTGTAGATGTTCTAAAATATATTTAGACAGTAAAAAGACATTTAAACATTAATACACAGCCTCAATAAATGATGACAGTAAACAATAACTGAACAATAATTTCTGGGAACATGTTGTACAGTGTTCCATAGTATTGGCTAAGATTTACTATTATACAGTGGGTATTGTACAGTGAATGAATGAATGTTTTGTGAAAGTCTCTAAGTGGTTCTGTTCCATGCAGACAATTGGTCATGACTCGTGGTTGAGTGTCATGGCTGAAGGTCGGGATGACCTTATATACAGTGCATTTGTCTCAGTCTGTTGTTGAAGCTGGTTCTCTGCTTGGCCTAGATGACCCACAGAGGGTGAGACTCATTGTCCAGTATAGCCAGTAGTTTCTTGAGTGTCAAACATACAGTTCCCAGTGGGTCCAGACTGGCTCCTAGAACTGAGCCAGCTTTATCGATCAGTTTGTTTACATTTTTGCCCCAACACACCACCACATAAAATACCACAATAATAATAATACTGATTTTATAAAATGTTTTATCATCATCCAATACAATTGGCTTTAAATGAGACATACAACAATAGACATTTTTTCTTTCTATTCTTGTTTTTCCCGAGTGTTGGCTGTATCCAGTTTTGAATCAAACTCACCCGTCTCACAGCGATTGATGACTATCATTACAGTTCCTATTCTAACCACTAATTACTACTATGCTTTCTTTTCAGGAAGCTTTTTTTTTTCCTGAGAGCTCCGCAATAACTGGAAAAACGGCCTACAAAAAATCTTGTACAAACACTGCAGTCGTGCCTTTTACAGTAAAATCCTCCCTCACTCTTGCCGAAATCTTAACACGTTATTTCACCACCAGGGGGCTCATGGAAATATCGCCTTAAGTGTGTGCTCAGGTTTCCGATTCTCATTCGTAATGTTTGAACAACCGGAACGTGTTGGGGTTCACCTTACCGTTTGAGACACAGTACAAGCACCGTACTGTCATCATTACTTTTAGTCCTGGAAGCCAATACGGCTATCCTATTTCAATCTTTTATACCTGCACCCTGGGCTTGTAAATCTAGTCGAAAGTAAGTTAGGGGCCAGCAAACCAGCAGTTATCAGATACGGCACATCCTGCTGTGAAAAATTACTCCTGTTACAGGACAAGTGAGCGCAGAAATGCACACGGCTGTGGTTAGCGATGCACAGCAAGTATTATCTCGACATCAGACCTTCCGATCGCACTGATTTAGGATTTTGTGCAAATTCACTTCACCACCAACTTTAACACCTCGGATTTGTTTATTGATCCGCTCTAAATAATTACGTTAATGAGTCCTGGTGGTGTGTGATTTCAGATTTATTTACATAAACAAAGCAGACGCGTACTTATTAGTGGGTATAGATAACGCGAAGGCATCTGCCCGTCCTGCGCGTTAAACAGGTGGAAGTTCATCATCAACTCCACTCAAGATGCTTCTCACCTACAACTAGCGCGCGCCGCTGAATGAATACACCCCACACGATCGCTATAGCAACTGGTTGCTATTAGCGACAAGACACGACTACGTCCCCCTGTGGAAAAGAAACGAGACGGTAGGCGAAAATGAGCAAGAAAGAGTGGGTTTGACATAAAGGGGGCGTGGGTATATGTATGAATGGACAAGAGCGCACGGCTGCAAATACAAAAAGCAAGTAATCGTTTAATAAGTGTTGCAGGATAAGCGCAGTTCGCCGCTTAAGACGGGCGGATCCGGGGGTTCCCGACGCGGGCACAACAGGTAAGGGAGTGATGCTATTTGTGTGAACGATCAAGCACATGGGCACGGCTTTTAATAGGGAGATTCATCATAAGGTCTCGGATGCGGGCTTTTTAAGTTTAGACACCGGGTTTTAAAATAATCTGAGATGGAGCAGTGAATAATTTTGTTTTGTCGTGCTTCTTGCGTCTGTCGCTTCCTTCAGAAAAGGTTCAGATTTGTTTTTTTTTTTCCTTCAATGTTGTGCAATGTTTTCATTTTAAGCTAGGTACCTACAAAGATGTCACGATTTAAAAATAATATTAAAAAGCAAATCAAGGCATCAAGGAATACTTAAAAAACAAACAAACAAAACAGCGTTCTTTTTCCAGAAAATTACATTTATTGAAGATTATATTATTAATTCATTTCCTATTAAAACAAAACAAAAAAAAACAGTTGATTTGCATAGCTTTAACTTCAAGACGTCATGCTGTATTTGTGTAATACCACACCAGTTGTAACACCTGCCTATTCTCTGTCAGAGGACATTTCCCATTTGGGGTTATTTCAATTTCATTCCCTCTGTAATGAGACATGTGGGCAGACCGCCTCTGTGATTCCGGCCTGTCAGAGAGGGACTAGATGTCCATTTGTGTTTCCAAATGGGTTTTACACGCTGCCCACTCCTGCATGAGCCGGGCACACAGCATGAGGACCCAAGTACATCCAGCAGCTGACCATAACGATACAGACCTGCATAATGTCAATGACTCATCAATCCTCGCTTGCAAAAGCAGAGGAAACCATTTGCTTTTATTTTTAAGCTTGCCTTAGAGCAACCGTATGTAGACCTACTTCACCTGGGGGGGGGTTGCTGACCGCAGATTTTAGATTTTGTAGTGTTGATTTGCATTCGTATGGCCTTGTCCTGTTTTAAGATGCTGCGGCTTGGAGACCGTACGGCACAATGTACTATAATGTTTATTCTATTTGCGAAAGAGGGTGGTGTTTGTGCAAACAGACTTACTGTCCACAGAAATGATCTCAGCAAGTGAATCTCCTTATGTAAGGTTACAGTGCACATGAGGTTTACTTGCAAATATGGGCTTTTAATTTATACATCACTCTGTGCCCTGACTAATGACTGAAAGTGCACTGGGGAGAAGAGCATTTATAGACAATTATATATTATATATATATTATAATTAACATTCTCAATGAAGAACTAAAGTGATAACATCAAAATGAACCCAATAAAACAATTCATGGATAAAATCATTAATACGATCGCAAATTTAATTTGACAAAATCCTAACAAATTTTCTATTTATCATCTGATCACTTTGCAAATTTTTTTCTCATAATTTAGTCTGCGGAGTACAGATGTAGTACCTATGTCAGTCTACGCTCACAGATACAAGAGGACGGCTACGATGAACGTTGACTGTATCTTTAGAAAGCAACTACAATATGGTAAGAGCTAAGAGATAATAATTAACCAGAAATTGCCCACACCAGGGGAACAAACATTTGTTTTTGTGGAGACAAACTGATTATTATTACTGTAGGATTGATTTGTTCTTGTGGATTGTTTATAAGTAGGTTATGAGGTTAAAGTATATATTACCAATGGATGGTCCTTTCCTCTCAGTAATATCTGTGGACAAACAGTAATATTTAATATTTGCTATCTGGTATTTAATTTTTGAATACTGGATATACTTGTTTCCATGACTGAACCAATGGGTTACTATAATAAAATTATCTTTATTTTTAAGGTGAAACAGGTTTAAGGTAAAGTAGTACTATAGAATCCTGTACGGTAGTTCAATGCACTGAAGTTGCAATTATTTATCCTTAATCTCCAGCTGCCCCATTTCAGTTATTAATATGACAAACTGAATTGACATTTACACACATCTTTAATGTTTAAAAATTTGTAGAAATAATTTTAATCAATCTCCGAATCTTGAAATATAAAATAATCAGACAAATCATTTAAGCTATCGTCTAATGCGATTTTAAGTGCTCTCCTAAATATTCTGTTTCAGATGTACCTCAGTGCTCCGAATTCAAATGCAGATTTAAGTTAACTTTAAATAATTTTTCTATATCAAAATGCTTCAAATGCTTCCACAAAATTTTGGAATGTGTCTGTGGGAATTTTTGCCCATTCATCCAGAAGGGCATTTGTCAGGTCAGGCACTGATGTTGGACATGAAGGCCTGGCTCACAGTTTCCATTCTAGTTCATCCCAAAGGTGCTCGATGGACTTGAGGTCAGGGCTCTGTGCGGACCAGTTAAGTTCTTCCACACAAAACTCACCCATCCATGTCTTTATGATCCTTGCTTTGTGCGCTGGGACATAGTCATGCTGGAACAGAAAAGGACCTTCCCCAAACTAATCCCACAAAATGGGAAGCATAGAATTGACCAAAATTCCTTAGTATGCTTAAGAGTTCCCTTCACTGGAACTAAGGGGCCCAGTCCAACCCCTGAGAAACAGCCCCATACTGTACCATTATCCCTCCTCCACCAAACTGTACAGTTAGCACAGTGCAGTCAGTCAGGTAATGTTCTCCCGGCATCTGCCAAACCCAGATTCATCCAATGTGATTTGTCACTCCACAGAAAATGTTTCCACTGCTCCAGAGTCCAGTGGTGGTGCGTTTTACAGCACTTGGCATTTCACTTGGTGGTGTGAGGCTTGCTTGCAAGTGCACAGCCACAGAGGCCCATCCTGTGCTGAGGGCACACAGTTATTGTGCTGGGGTTCATGCCTGAGGAAGTTTGGGACTCTGCAACTGAGACGAGAGCGCTGGCGACTTTTACGCACTGTGCTCCTCAGCACTTGGTCTGTCACTTCATGGCTGAGTTTGTGCTGTTCCTAGATGCTTCAGCTTTGCAATAATAACACTTGCAGTTGACCATGGAATATCTAGCAAGGAAGAAATTTCACAAGCTGTTTTATTGCAAAGGTGGCATCCTATGATGGTACCACGCTTGAATTCACTGAGCTTTTCAGGACGACCCATTCTTACACAAATGGTGCTTGATTTTATACACCTGTGGTCTGTTGTTCTGACTAAGAGGTGTGTCTCAATACTACTCTCCAAATAGTGTATGTTGTATTTATGCCAACTAAAATATGTACAACTTGAAACCCTTAGTCCATCCATCTATCAACCCCTTATCCAGGTCAGGGTCACATGGTCCTATAGCCAAGGCTAAGGTTCACCAAGGCAATAAAACATAAGCATTTTGCATTTCCTAAATTAATTTGTTGGATTATGCTTAATCGCTGCTCTCTTGCTTTTAATGAGGCTTCATGGTGAGCTTTATAAATAATCCATCATCTCATTTACAGAAATAATGTGTTGAGTTACTCTTGCGTCATACTGTGTATTTTAGCAAATTAAAACGAGACTCACTTAAATCACACAATTCTTTTTGAAATATATCTAGGCAGACAGAAGGACTTTTGGTCATCCTTATGATGTTAGGTAACATTACAAGCCTTGAACTACTATATCGAATTTAGTGGATGCAATATGAATGATGGCACAGAGCGTTGGGCTCCTGATTAGATGCTGTTTATGGTTCCTTACTGCTGTATCAGAAGAGTGCATGTACTGTATGCTCCACCTTCCATTCTCACTCACTAGGCGTTCAGGCAATGTCTGACTCCTCAGGTTAGCACCCAAACCAGAAATTCACTGATTATGGTCTGGTTTTTCGGTCTGTAGCAGGGATTAAAATGAAGCATTTGGGGCAATGAGAGCAATGGCATGGTTTTGTAAGATACTTCTGCTATTATATTATATTTTATCCTATTACAGCTTACAACTTAAATTGCTTAAAGTCAGACATTTGTCCTGATAAGGAAATATGAGCTCCAGCGGTAATGTTGGGTTTGCCTAACAGAATAAGGTTTGGGTTATTTTTATAATACAAAATATAGATGTCATACAGCAGGTTAAAAATATGGACTGACGCTGGCCATGTAAGACCCCTCGTTTAAAGAATGGATGTCGCAGGTCGTGACAGCGGTGTGAATGTCACATTCACTCTGCATGCCTGTAAGTCACCGTTATGAGATATTACTTAGAGACCCAATTGTGATGGATTGCAGACTGTCCAATCCCGCCTGTCACGCTGGGCGGGGGGGGGGGGGACAGGAAGGGAGAGACAGGAGGGGTTGGATGCAGTGAGCACAAAGACGACACGTGGTCCTTGTCATCTTGGCAAGACCCTCCGCCAACCCCCCCCCCTTGTCAACTCCCAGGTGACGCTTTCCAATCACTGTGACAATCCTCCATGACCACACAGCGTGACCACACAGCGTGACCGCACAGCGCGACCGCACAGCGTGACCGCACAGCGTGACCGTTCCCTCCACGCTAGCAGGAGGGCGGCTGCCTTGATGTGCAAAGCAGAGCTGGAGCCTCCGTCAGAGTGTGTGACCTCAGGTGCCGCTCTGAAGGTGTGTGTGTCTCCACTGCCATGTACATCTTCTCCGTCTGTGAGCAGAACTTTCACCTGAAGAGCCAGACTAACAGCCTGACAGAAGATTACATTTTAAAATGTTTATTCATGTTTACATATGCACACGCTGGCCATTTTCGGAACATCTGTACACTTGCTCATTTAAGCATTTTATCAGCATGTGGCAGCAGTTCGGTGCATAAATAATTGATACTTTTATTGATCCCCATGGGGAAATTGTCTTTTTACGCCTCCCCCAACTTGCTCTTTGTAGAGTAAGCTGTCCGCAAAGGTCTGGGAACTGTCCACCTGCAGCGGCGCCCAGGGAGCTGAGGGTTAAGGGCCTTGCTCAAGGACCTACAGACATGCTGAGGCTGGGTTTGAACCGGCGACCTTCTGATTATAGGCACTCAGGCTTAGCCCACCGAGCCACACGCTGCCCCAAAATCAAAATCGGGACTTTGTTCCAACTATCACTGAACTAGAGCGATGCTTGTACGCTGTTCATTTCTCACGCGCAAGTATCATCATCAAAATCATGTGGACACAGATCAAGAGCTTCAGTTAATGGTCAGATCAAACATCAGAATAATGGACATATGCGATTCCAATGACTTTCACCCTGATATGGTTGTTGGTGGCAGATGGTGTGTTTTGAGTAGAAACTGCTTCGGCAAAGTGATGTACAAGTGAGACATATAGCTCATTTAAAAAATATGTGCTGTCAAGGAATAAACTAGACTGGTAACTAAGTGCAGCTAGGCTGAGCTTCCAATGAATGCTCTGTTACAAGTGTAATTTCCCATGAATAATCTCTGGATGTGGGGAAAAAAGTGTGTGTGTGTGTGTGTGTGTATTTGGGTTGAGGGTTGAATATGCATTAATTGTGGGGACTAAGTGTAATGTCTCCCCACAATGTCCCCACAATGTGATTAAAAACCTGTTATTCTGATGACACGGTGGGGACCGTTTGTTTGGTCCACACAATGGGAAATTTAGTTCTATAAACATCTGTGACTGCAATCAAAAAGCTAAAAATGTGAAAATCCTTGCATTTTGTTTGATTACTTATGGTTAAGGTCAGGGCTGGGTAGGGGAAAAGGGTGTCAGGCCTTGGAAAGGTAAACCACACCGAAAGGGGGGGGGGGGCACCTGGAAATGCATTTAATCAGAATGTAACAACAAGCCCAACAAAATTAGATTGGCTGGGATCCTGGTGCAGTCTCTAATTATTCCTCAAATGCCCTTTTTCATCAGGAGCCCTCGACAGCACTGTCCCCAGCTGCAGTCAGTATGTCAATCTAGCAGCGTGGGGGGGGGCAGTTTGCTGAAGGACAGCCTCAGCAATGGCAGGGGAGTTCCTGAGCAGCACCTTGCCCCCATCAGGGGCGGCCTTGCCGGTGTCCTCCTCTCTGACACTGGAGCAGAAGGCGGCCTTCGTCTTCGTCTTCCTGCTCTTCATCTTCCTCGGCTTGCTGATCGTCCGCTGCTTCCGCATCCTGCTGGACCCCTATCGCAGCATGCCTTCCTCCACCTGGACCGACTACATGGAGAAGGACACCTTCGATTACCGCATCGCCTGAACGGGCCTTCGCCTTCTCCCGAGGTCCATGTATAAGATCATCCAGAAGACAGCTGAAGCTGATAAATGGATCCCTACTGGGAAGGCAAAACCCCAGCTAACTCTGACAAGCAATTGCAAGGATTCTAAGTACGGAATGTAACCTTGTGTGTCAGCTGACCAAGAGTAAACACCTCAGGTGCCCATGGGAGCAGCTCCATTCAGTCTGTCTCTGTTTCCAAACCCACATACATAGATCTGTCATCTTCTTCCACTAAGCTAAATTTAAATTCAATTATATCCTCAATTATACCCCTCTGCTTCTCATAACGACTCAGAGAGGTGAGCCCCTCCCCTTTTCTGAAGGAAGGATTTATCTCTCAAATGAGTAAATTAGCTTTTTTTTTTTAGGGCATTAAAGTAACCGATATGCAAAGTCCTATTACTTTTCACTGTCACCAACATCAAGCAAAAATCATTTTTAACTTGGCTTGTAGCGGAAAAATGGAAGTTTCGTAATACCGTGGAGATCTGAAATCTCCACTCCATACTTCTGTGGCGTAGGATCACTTGAAACACTACATTACGTAGGGCGACGAAGTCTACGGGGCCTATTTTATCTAGGTTGACCTGATATAATCTTTTTGAATATGTATATACCCATGTATAAGTCAATCCACGATACGACCTTTTCTGTGCTGAATGTTTTCTAGCTAAAGTTCAAGGAGACAGCAATGGACAGAAGCTCTGATCCCCTTGAGAAGCAGCATAGCACAGCAAGCGTAAACAGACGAAAGAGCAGAATATCGAGCGGCCTTAACCCTATAACAAACACGACCAAGGTAAACGTCTGGGAACTTTGCAAGTCTAAATGTTTACATGTTTATATATAACTGTGCTTTATGCAGGATTCTTGTGTGTTATTGAAAGCACCTTTCTTCCTCAGTATATGTCTGACACTTTCAGTGTTTTGCTCACAACAAAACAAACTCACAACAGGAATCGACAGGTGAAGCAAGGCCTCTGGGATAGTTTTGGTAATGCAGGTATGATTATTGAATGGATGATGTCAATGGCCATTGTTAGGGATGGCAGACATTTTTTGAATGCAATGTAAAGAATGTATTTTGTCTAGTGAACGTTTCATTGAAATTTATCTTACGGTGTTTGGGGATGAGAGATCTTTCAGCTTTGGGTCACCCAAAACTAGATCTAATTAAGCTACTTCGGCATTTTCCATTAAAATGCAGGTTTTACTTGAAATTCTATGTACAGTATCCTTCTGAGTACTACCTAAGTAGTATGTTCTACTGTATGTATCCTTATGAGTACTACATAAGTAGTATGTTTGAATAAGCTTTTTCAGAACTTATTGGAAATTAAATTCTAAAATGATGTTGGACTTCCCCACTACATAAAATTAGTTTATTAAGATATACTAAGAAATATTCTGATACAGTCAGGATAACTAGTAATTGAAGTCCCATTCTAAATGATATCAGTCTAAGTATATTTATTGCATATTTATATTAGTTCTAGACCAGTTGTGGAGAGATAAAGATGTGGAATAGTAAAGGTATGAGTTTTACACCCCTATCCAATGGTTGATCATGGTTTGGTCTCCTTCTCCTTGATGTATGCCTTAGAATGTAGCCTGTTTACAGTCCGTAATCACTGAAAGACATGTAGCCAAGTTCGAACCAAGACCAACAGATAGAAGGGGTTCCGATCCATCTAACTAGCGTCACTGGGGTTTTAGTGTATAAATCCATTACGTTATTGGTGTGCACTTTGACATAAGCTTTCCTCTATGTCACACTGTGGCGATTAATGTGCAGAATCAGCTATTGCTTGCGTTTCATGCACAGTGCATTTGCACATCGGTGTGGCGTGGTGCCCTTGCAGCATGCTAATGACAACAAGGAAGCACCTGAATGTTTTTTGAAATCAACAGGTAATGATTGTTAGAATTTAGATAGTTTACTAAGGCCCAGCCTACTTTTGACCATGTATTATATTTTCCAGTGTTTCATGCATTTTATAATAAAAATAACAATAAATGTTCTTGAATTACTTTTTGTGTGGATTGCTCTTAGTCACAATGCAAGAGTTCGGCATATTGGGCAAGAAGGAAGATTAAAAAGCTGTGTCTCTCTTGGCATGATCTGCTACCTGTATCTGCTCAGCATTTACCTTGTTATAGATCCGTGAGGCAGTAAGTGGTGTAGTGGGTTTATTACAATTATACCCCAGTATTCAAGCTCTGAGTATTCAAGATAATGCCTAAATGAGTAAATATTGATACAGATATTGGTATTCAAGTGAAGTATCTGAAATTCATGTGAGTATGAATTTCCAGTAACAAATCATTAGAGTAAATATTATTTTTAAATGTCTTTTTATAAATTATTCCTTATTTTTGCATAAATGTGAGTGGTAAATGTTGCTACTATTATGAAATGTAATGTAATGACAAAGAATAGATTGCTCATAAACACACAAGCATATTTATTGCCTTATTAACTCTTCGGTAATTTGATGATTTGTGTTTAAAATGTTCTTTATTGTGCTGAAGTATGTATATTTGAATGTTATAGATATTTTGGGGAGGTCAAGTGTGGTTTCTTCAATGGACATGGAATGAATTATAAATTTCCCCATAATAAATAATGGGAGATAGTTCCTGATATCTGAGTTCCCACTAACCGAACCAGTTACATTCCTACACTGAGGTGTAGGTGCATATCGAGCAGTCTGTTCGGTGCAGAACAATGTGGGGTTAATAAACCTACATCACCAAGGACTTTGCATTGCAGCTGGCCAGAACTGACCCTCACCATTGATCGCAACTCAGAGTTATGAGGATTTAATTAAGGCTTCCAGAAAACGAATATGGCCGTCTTTAGCAGTTTGTTACCTTCTTTTTAAAATGATCCAATCAAGAAAGGACATGGGAGCTGCAATTTTTCTCATTGTCATTTTGTCTTAAGGAACAAAAAATCAGCTCTATATCTGTCCATATACTGTATGTTTCTAATGACCTTCTAGTAAAGGTTTTAATATATAGTAATATCTAGGGAGAGTAAGTCAAAAGAGAATGTTACAAGGCCTTGCTTCTTACCACGAACCTCCAAATTGCATCCAGGAAAAGTCAATAACTGCTTCGGATTTCATTGGTTTCTGAAACTTTCTTTTATAGCCTGTTAGAAATGTAACAACAGATAGGAGCCAACGGTGTAAATCTACTTGTGATTGTCCGGTGAATCTTAACACTGGCCATAGCGAAGACACATCATGCTACCCTAGCTGTCTTGAGTGAGTCTGTATAATTATACTAAAAGGTTCCTCATTGCTTAGACAAGAGAATAATTACACTGATGCAATTACTCTATCCACAGGACTTCCATTGGCAGACGCAATAGTTGGCTGGGCGAAGTAAGGAACCCAGCAGACCGTTACATCCTGATGCAATTACATAATAGTGGAGCTCATGTGTGAATCATAATATACTGTTTCACAAATTCACCAAGAAGAGGGCAGAGAAATTAGCCGAGCTCTAATGTCTTAAGGTGAAACAGTATGCCTCTACAAAATGGGACGCTGCTACTTTAAGTCGATTGCAGGATAGCGTTGCGACTTGTTTCAATAGCGGGGAGCAGTGTTTATTTAAGGGTGGAGGTTATACACCAAAAGGCTAAGAGCTACACATAAAGAGGATGGACCAGGTGTTATTGCTACAATCGCCGACTTCACGTTCTGTTATCATTGCAAATAAACCCAGTGACGATGTCGAAAAACTGACCGCTTCTGATAATACTTTGACCATGCCATATTTATGGGAGCACAGACTGTAGTGTCTTCGTAGGGACGCAATTCAGTCCGTATGATCACATGCGCGACATTAGCCATTTTCTCTGTTCAACCTGGAAAAAGAACTGCACGATTTTACAAAAAATACGATGAGGCAGTCTGACGGAGAAACGTCTGAAAGGTTTTCACGGCGTACCGCTTTCGGCTTCAGACTTATCGGTCTTGACTGCATGTGATTAAGACCGCACGTCCGAGATAAGAACATAGCAGAAGAAAGGAACAACTGAAGGCGTTTTTAGTGAAGGAACGGATCAAAGGGCAAAGCATGAAAAGAAGAAAAAAATCTGGAGGTTATCAGTCCTGTTCAGTTGCTCTCATTATGAACGGGCTGGAAGGCACTGCTGCCACATTCCCACCTCTCTGTGGAGACAGAGATGGCTTGCTGCTGTATGCTTGCATTGGCCCTCTTCCTAAATGACAAACTGTTATATATATATATATATATATCTATCTGCCCCTACTCACCTGGGCTGGGCAATCATGCTGTACAAGAACTACAGGGTCAATATCTATCCGTAGTATCAGAGAAGTCAGTCAATCGTTACCCCTTCTCATGAAACAGTAATCATTATGATTAAAAAAAAAAAAAAAAAAACACAGGCTTGTGAATAATTGGTAGACTGGGTCACTTTTCTGCCCGCGGATCATTTTTACGCAAGAAGGTTTTTCAGGGCAGTTAAAACCCCCTGAGAAATTTGGTTGCAAATGGGCCCTCCTGTGTTTTAGTTCTCATTAACCTCCTGTTACATTCTGTAATTATCTAGCCCCCTAAAAAAACATTAAACGTATCATCCAGTAGAATAAATTCACGCGCTATAAGCAAACAGAGGACGCTTGGGTCAACCAAAATTAGGACCAATTATATTATTCTGATATTTTTCCATTACATAGTGCAGGTGTTATCTGACGTTAAATGATAGTCGTCTGGTTCTAACACTGAACCATCCGATTTTTATACCATCTGACTCCTATGCAGATAGACCATAACAAAACCAAAACCAGAGCTGATATTTTTTGTTTATGGTGGAGACGCATGGACAAAATTAAACTACATGATCGATCATTATATTCATGAGAGTCAGGATTGAAGGTGATACTGCCCCTCATTAAATCTTCAGTGAAAGACTACTGGTACGTAATATTTGACACTATAAGCTTCACTAACTGATGTTTTTTATGCCTCCTTGAAGACAGAACCTACAATTCAGAGAGAAAATGATTAATCATTAGTCACGTCACCTTTTAATTTTGTGGTGAAGATCTTCATTTTTCCCCCTGCAGTCACATCTGCATATTCTGTGGATTTATTAAAGGGTAGTTTTATCAAGTTACATGACTTAACACTGATAACGCTGGGAACAGTAATGAAGCCTGACTAATCTGGTTCTCACTTAATGCAAAAAAAGCCACTTTGATAGAATGCTGCACAATTACATCGATGTATAATAGCAATAACAATTCATTTTCTTTGTCACCATCATAGCTCAATTCTGGCAGTGATAAAACTCTGGTAATGTACACCAATGACCTTATGAATGAAGACTGAAGTCACATTCATCTCTTTGGTATCTATTAAACTGTCTGTCACTTTCAATAAGTATAAAATCTGCAAATAAGGACAAGACTTAGATTGAACCATGCTTGGATTAATTCGGATATTATCTTAAAATGCAATTTTGGCCATTAAGAACGGATAATATTTGATAACTACTTTTGCTTTTTATCTGTAAGTTGAAAGTTTCAGAAACAATACAGAAAGCATAGTAAGTACAACCGCTGAAAAAAACAGCTATATATTTTTGAAGGGAAAACGACGTACATTGTTGAAAATGGAAAAGAAATTTCTAAGCTTCTCTACGTGACACTATACGAGCTTGTTTCCCCCGGCAAACTAAAAACTGACAGTCATAGCCCTCTGTATCTCGCAGGTGGCTTCGCACATTAATCATTCATACATTAATTAAGGTGGAAGTCCTTGAGTTTACTGCATCGTATTTTCGTGCACCCAAATGAAGGGCTGACTAAAGGATTGCGGACCCAGGTGATTCTCTACACCTCCCCCATCACCTGTCTGCCTACTGGAGCCCGAAATAAACGCAGCTTCTCGAAATGCGCAGATCGATACCCATCATATGTGCTGTATAATAAGGCTAGAAGGCAAATGCTAATGATTTATCACCAGCCTCCCTTTCGCTTAAGCGCACGTTTCCCGAACACCGTTACGGTGTGACGGCGCTTCTCTGCCTCTTCGCGTCTCACCGACTGTCAGCGACTCAACGACGGGCAGCGCTGCCGGCGTTTGATTTATTGCTCACACACTGTGATTTAATCCAAAAAAGCCAATAAAAAATTAATTGGCTTCTACACATAACTGAAAGGTATCCAGTCAGATGTTGTCTTATCAAGTAGAAATAAGTAAAACACCATTTTTAAGCTTATTATATGTAAATTTATCCGTTATCGCTTTATCACTGTGGTCAAGTTGGTGGTTGATCACGAAATGTGTGTGTGTGTGTGTGTGGATTAAGGTTATATTACTTTATGGGGACAAAATGTCCCCCACAGTGTGATAAAAACCTGTTATTTTTACGTTGTGGGGACAATTTTTCAGCTCCCCACAAAGATCTGTGAATGCAATCAAAAAACTAAAATGCCAAAATGCTCATACTGAATTTTGTTCAGTTACTTATGGTTAAGGTTAGGGTTTGGTGAGTGGGGGTTAAGGACGTCATGTTGGGATTTCGGTTTTGCCCATAGAAATGAATGAACGGTCCCCACAAAGATACGAGTACAGGTCTGTGTGTGTGTGTGCGTGTGTGTGTGTGTGTGTGTGCTACTTTATGTGCTTCCTGACAAATATGCACACCAAGTATATCACAATTGCTGCAAACATATTTAAATATGTAATTTCCTCTTCGCTGTTCCTGTGGTTGGACCCTAAATAGGTTTTTATGTTATTGTTTAATTAAACTTACATGTTTCTTTTCAATGCATTAGTTTGAGGACCCCATGAATTTTGAGTTGAACTGATCTTTAGAAACTGCATCTGACACTTTGGGAAATGTGCACATTTGCATTGGTGATATTATTCAGAACACAATTGCTTTGATGCCTTTCTCCTGTAATACCAAACCAGCCACAAACTGCATATTATTTAAGCTATTAATGGAAATGGTTGAACAGTAATGAGCTGACAAAGGTAGATAATCCACACACTCAGCTCCTTTGTATAACTCATTAAGGATACATTTATATGCAAAGAACCATAAAGGGAATCAAGCTTCTAGCACCTTTACTGGCATTTATTTAATAGCAGTTTGAGAGGAAAAATCCTGTTATATACGGACAGTTTTGGTGGTTATTGTAGCAGAAATTGTCCCTCTGGAAGTTTTAAATAATGAAATCAATGGATGGTGAATGTTAGTCTTAAACGATTCCTAGAAATATGCAACATTGTATTTAATTCAGCTCTTGAATCAGCTGGTGAGATTTTCTTTGTTAAAATACAGTAATCTTCAGTTACATGCCTCTAAACTTAACAAAACAAATCTGCATTATTTCAGGAAAAAAAATTATTTATGTGTTAAGATTGGAGCAGCATGAATCTTCCGCAGGTAGGAGTATTGCTTTATGTCTCCAGGTTTTGATGTTACAATCCAGCTTTACAATCCAGCTCTTGGTGTGTAGAGTTCATATGTTTTCATTGTGTTCTTTGGCATTCTTCCCCGATTCCCCTTTCATAACCCACAGACTAACTGTTTGGATAAAACAGCATCCTGCATCATCCTTAAAGGTAAATGAATGCATGATGTAAGTATCCCATTACGGACTGGCTTCCCATCCTGGGTGTACCCTGCGCACTGCCATATGGTCCCAATCACTGCTGAGAATTAGGCACCTTCCATGTTTTTTCTAGCATCACCAAATGTTTAGGCATCACAGTCATTTTCAAATCTCTGTCTGTCCTTCCGCTCGTCTGTTCCTTCTGGGCACTGTATTACTTTTTCAGAGAAAGTTATTTTTTGTGGAAATCATGGTGCTCACTTCTATCCTCCAAGTCTTTATGATACTCACGATCCACTCAGAATCGCATTTAAGAAAAAAAATTTAGCAGATGGTGTTCTCCAAAATGTCATACAACCAAGAAAGCAGGGTCACACAGTCCCTGGAGCTACCGGGTTTAAGGGCATCGCTCAAGAGCCCAGTGGTGACATCACTCTGCCGATGCTGGGATCTGAACCAGTGACCTTCTGATCATTGGCACAGCATGTTAACCCCCCCATGCACCTTCTACCACAGAACGTGTGACAGACAAGCAGAGACTACTCAACTCAACCGCTTCTGCTGGTTTTTTTTTTTTTGTGACTTCTGTAAATCATTTAAAACAACATATTCTCCTGAAGGCGTGGAAGGCCACGCTGTGACATGGGTCAGCAGGAGCCATGCATGGGGACACGCTGGCATCTGGAGATGCAAAGTAACTGAAAGCAGCAAAAATCATCCTGACAGGTTTACTCAGATTGTGCTAAAACTGAAGAAAGAAAACGTTTGCCGGTCTCAATGGCACAGTGATTAAAAATAGAAGCCAGGCAATCTAATCTTCCTTTAGGCTCTTTCCTGTGGCCCCAACAGAGACAGTCATTTGGCAAATAGACCAGCCTCCGACGAGCTAGTGAGCTAACTTCATAACCGTGGTCATCCCCTATTCCTTAGCAATTCATTAATTCATCTACACACATTTATTGGTCATGCTCTTGTATCTATGGGCCACCTCTGGAAATCTAGCCACAGTAGCAGCTACTGTTTCATAACAGCCCACAAAATTTTTGTGTGTTTTCCCTGCCTGTGCACCTGCTTTCTTCCGTAACCCAAAGACATGCAGCTAGATGAATTGGCTCGTATAAATTGTACCCTGTGCAGCCTGTGATTGGCTCTCTCTCAGATCCCAGTAGGAGGACCAGGTTAGGAAACACTGATACACTGGATAAGCAGTTGGAAGATGGATGGTTCAGTGGAATTGCAGTGTCGCACCTCAAAAGCTCTGGGTTTGAGTCTAGATGTATTTGGATTTACTATATTCTCCTGAGATTTGTGTGGATTTCTACTAGTAGTCCAAAGATAGGTCTTTACAGATTGCTTTGTCAAAAATGAACATGAACGTTGCTCTATTAGAACTTAAATTCTAGTGACGCAGAGCTCAAATACAGTTTTCAGTGCTATTTGTTTTAACAATCATATAACGTAAACAATCCTAAAATCATACTGCAGCAAGCCACTTGTGGCCAGCTGTCCTCATTAAACTGTTACTATTGGAGCCAAACCTCTTGATGCTTGACAAAGCTGGATAAAATTACTAAAAGAGATTACAGGTTCCCCTTGCACTGAAACTTGACTCGTACCAACTCCGTCAACTACTCAATTGCAAATCACAACCACCCCAAAGAGGCCAGAATTACTAAGAGGAAATTAGGCTAGAAGTCATTCACTTATTCTGAAATGGTAAAAGAAAATGTAAGGCGTTACGCAAAAAAATATGTATTTCAGATTTTCAAGCCAATAAGAGTAAGGGGGAATTCCTTAAAGTTCCTATATTTTCCTTTGGAAAGAAAAATCCAGTATTTAAGTATTTTGGTTGAAAGAAAAAATATGAAAATGTATTCTGTATGTTTTATTATGAAAAAAGAACTGTTATACAGTTAAACTATATAAAACTCCACTTTGTCTTTTTAATACCCCCAATAGTGTTCAAAGTGAAATACAAATCAACATGTGAAAACAGCACATATGAATATGTCTGGTTTTTCCCTGTAGAAATAAAAAATGATGCAGTAACATGACAGAAAATAAAAAAAGGCAGATTAATTCATAGATCGAGCCAAATTCATATGCTCTACAGAAGCAGCCCCCCCACCAACCTTAGAAATATGTTTCAACATGCATCACACCTTGTCTTGCAAAATCTGCAATGACGACATTTTTTTCCTCACAAAACCTTCCCCCAGAACATAATACACTTAAATAAGCTTTCGCATACGTTCGACGACACTGTAGGATGGAAATAAATTTTAATCAACAAATTATAGTATACATATTAAATGTATTGAGATGATGTATAAGAAATGGACCGACTGTGGCATGTCAGTGATCAGTGCAGGTGGAATGTGCAGAAGTGTGGCGCCATCTGCTGTTTGGCCCGGGAAAAATATTACGTAGCAAAAAAAAAAAAATTCTAACACAGGCGTCTTGTGATAGGAATCGTTATAACCATGTGAATGCTTTGTAATACGTTAACTGAACTTGTGGAACATATACACATATAGAAAGATACTTGTTTTAATGTAGCACTGGGTCAGTTACCTCTTGCATTTCAATAGTATAGGCAGACATTCCAGAAATTGTTTTCTTAGTGACCCATCATTTTTTTGTAACCAGGCAACCAGATTGCCAAGAATACTGCCCAAGATGCCGTGCACTGCTTGTCTCCAGCATGTGGCACACAGTTAATGGTTGCCAGTGGTAACGTTTATGTTATTCCCCTCATCACTGCTTTTCCCTCCTGGCCTGTGCCAGCTGATTTGCAGTTTGAATACAGGGCTGGTTAGTGAATCAGATGTGCGCCTAAAAGCCCCCCCATATAAGCCCCCCCCCCAATATGCCACTGGCAGACAAGGCCCCTGTCTGTAGCCAAGCATGAATAATGAATTGGCGACAATTCAAACTGAAGTAAAAAAAAAATCGAGGATAAAATTAGAAAATATGAATTATTTAAAAGGACGCCAGCATTGTGACGACAGTAAGATCAGCAGCATAAATTAAGTATAAATTTTATATATAAAAATGCCTTTTGTGATTTTTTTTTATTAATATAGCGAACTACTGATCTGCGTGTCAATAATGAAAATGCATAAAGCAACTACCTTTCCGCAGTAGGATCAGACCACCAGGTTTGCAGTGCACATGCAATGACATACCAGCAATGCCTGAGAAAGGTGAAACAGAGACGCACAACGCAGAAGACTGACGGTTACCCTTTGGCTGTGAGAGTCAAGCAAGCACACTGACAGCCAAAGACTGAGGGGGATCTGACGCTATCCTGGACAGCTTAGACAATTCGGTCCATGAAATCCTGTCGGTCCGAGGACTTGAAACGAGAACGGCCTACTCAGGTAATCCGTACTCCTTAGCAAGTTACCCACGAGTCCTGTGCTGGCTCTGCTCAAACGTCCTGCCTGAAATGAGGAGATAAAGGATTTCATGTTGTTCCACCAGAAAGAGCGCCTCTTTGTGTCTCACCCTCCTGGGGCAGAAGCCAAGCCTCAGAGTGTTAGGTGTTGTCAAGGCCTCTTTCCTGGTTACTCACAATTTTCACGATGCTCACTGATCTTCCATGACCTGTTCGCAAATATGCATTAAATCCCATAATATAAAAAAATTCATACAAAAACAAAGATACGAAAAGAACCCGAAGCTTCTGTGCGCTGTTTATGTTGGTCTGTTTTTAAGAGTTAACCTCTGTGTCAGTGGCTGTCGTTTCCACAGTCTCTACCAGCGTCACCTCTTCCTCGCCTTCCTCCTCCTCTTCCGTGGCCTCCAGGTCCCCCGCCTTGATTATGATAGCCCCTTCCGGAAGCACGATCATCTCCTCCCCTCCCAGCCCTTCCCGCCCAAAGCCGTTGCCGTTACTCTGGCTATAAGCTATGGCCTCCAGCTGGAGACGGTACTGCTCTGCCTCCTGCTCCTTCTTGAGAAGCTGCAGACGATATTCCTGGGCCTTGCGATTAGCCTCCTGAAGCTGCTTCTGCAGCAGCTCCCGGCAGTCATCCTTCACGGGATCCTGCAGAACAGAACAGGAAGGTCAGTACCATGAGTTTCACTCAAAGCTGGGTTCCTCGCTTCATAAGCCTGGGACTCGTTTAGAACCGTAACCTGCAGATCGGCTCCATTAAGGTTCTGCATCAGCTTTGCCAAACGCACCTTGTTTTTGGGCTCTTTGTGGTTGACGGCGGACTCTAATCTGCGCTTGCGAGCCTGGGGTGGCCGCTGCTCCCCGTCCTCGGCCTCGTCTGCAATCTGCCCATCTGACATGGCTAACACTGCTCACAGCAGCGCGGTTATAGTGCAAACAGAAGAGTGAGTGTCCTTCACTGGTAGCAGCTATCGTTAACAGAGAGGCAGGGAGATGCGAAGAGCTTACTCTGCTGTCCGTTTTGCATGGTGAGGAGGAACCGCTGGCCAAGGGCGCCTGGTTGTATGTTGCCATTTTGATCTGTCACTATGGTGATAACCCTCTGGGAACCCTCTCCCACCATGTGCTGGAAGGCTGAGCTCTCCACAGTGACCTCCTCAGAGTTACCTAGGGGAGGAAGACGACATCATTACATAGCAGAGTCCACGGTCGACAGGCACAGATGAACGGTGGCTATTTATAATTCCGGTTAATAGTGACAATAATCACAGCGGCAATGTTTGGCAGAGACAAACATGAATTCCCAGAGATGTTATCATATTTGTTTGCTCTGTCATTCTTGGCCACCATGTTCAGCTGGGCTGTCATCATGTCATCATACTCTGGCTGCATCCTGACGATATGCAAAAAAGCAATAAATAAAAGAATCGCTGGCCGAGGAAAATGCACAGTACAGCTCAATCTGCTTTGATTAAAATCAAAGCTCTGCCACAAAGTCAGATTTTTCCCCATTTAATCAGCATTATTTTTTACCCATAGCTAATTAAACTAATTCAATTATTTTTTTGATTTTTTTTGTTGTATATCAAGTTTTTGTAATCAAATAAGCAATGCTGTGTTTTCATTTTGCAACATGACCACTGCATTTAGCCATCATTTACACTATCTTATTATTTTAATTTATTTGTTTGTTTGATTTTGGTTTTTGGAGTGATTTTCTGCTGTTCGGAACCTAAGAAAAAAATGTAGTCAATTTAAATGAATAGACACAACTCAATTGATCAGCTACAAAAAGCTGACAGTCGTTTGAGGGCACCGTTAAAAGCATAATCAAACACCTGGTGATCACAGTCATGTGATGCTTCACCAACAGCCACTGATGTCGCCCAGTACATAAGTGTGACAGATTTCCCTGGAATAAATACGGAGCAGGGATTTGGCCCAGTAACAGCCTCACTGGCACCGGTATATCAGACTTAACCTTTCCGCCCTTCATGGATTTGCAGTCTGAGTACCGTGGCTGAGAAAGATTAAGCTCAGCTGTGGCATCATGCTGACATGACAGTGTGTGCATTCGGGCCAATAGATATAAAAGGAAAACTCAGCATCACTTAGGTGTACAACTGCTAACAATTATCAGTAACATTTACTGGAAGTGTATTATTGGGGCTCTCCCACATCTGCCATCAACACTGCCATCCATCCATTTTTTGTAACCCCCTTGTCCTATTCAAGACAGGGAACAATCTCTAACCAACAGGGCACCAACCCATCACAGGGCACCAACCCATCACAGGGCACCAACCCATCACAGGGCACACTCACATGCACACCTATATGCAATTTGGTGACCTCAATTAACCTGTGAGGGGAGGGGACATGCAAATTCCACACAAACTTAATTTTTCCACATGCCGTACTGCTGATCTGTGTACGGTCGTGCACATTCCTTCTTGTGTACATGCTACATTTGTCCGTGTAAGCAGAGGGTCATGGTCAGCAAATGTGCAGAGCAATGATATAGCAGAGGGCAGATATTATCTTCTTGTTCTGAATGAATTCTCTTCTTTGTCTGGGTTATTTCTTTCCACAAAATTGTGCAATGGAATATCTCTTTGTGATCCTTCAATGATTAGTTATATATATATATATGCGGGTACCTCCGCACCTCCTCACACAGCTGCTCACAGAAAGTATCCACAACTACAAGTACTCTTCTTCGACCCTTTTGTCATTGATGCCCGCTCTGTGAAAATCAGTGCTGCCACCTACTGGAAATACCTCATCAATTTCCTTGCACGTGCACAGTCGAAGCGCAGAAAGCCAGCTAGACCCAAAATCCGGGCTGCACACGCACACAGTCCACGCAGACACCACTGATGATGAAATTTACGTCACCTGCATGGTGCGTGGGCCGTAACAGCACGCAGAAAAGTGAAGTATGAACTTGGCTTAACATCCAGGTTTCTTCTTACCTGAGACAGCTTTGGTCGTGGCAGGAACAAGATCAGACAGGCTGACCATTGCCGTGGGCGATAAGATGAATTGAGGACTCGTGACGGCGGCCACGGAGGTGCAGGCCAAGTTCTGCTCTAGGTTTACGTTCACGTGGTTCTGCATTCCCTCCTGATTAAGAGTAAGGCACACGTTAGAAAAACAGCAGACTTCAGATTTTAATCCTGGTTACAACCTCAGCAAAGCAAATAGCACCCATCTTTGTTCACTTCTGGCAAATGCAACTCCTTACACTTCAGGGTCAGTATACATACCGTGAAAGACAATCCCCCCTAAATCTTAAATAAAGGTCCTTGGCCTATGTGAAATTTGGCCGACGCTTTACTCTGAAATGCAATAAAACCTTGGATTGCAAGCATAATTCGTTCCGGAAACGTGCTTGTAATCCAAAGCACTCATATATCAAAGCAAATTTTCCCATTAGAAATAATGGAAACTCAGATGATTCGTTCCACAACCCAAAAATATTCATATAAAAATGATTAATACAAAATATAAAGTAAAAATACATAAAACAAATTAACCTGCACTTTACATTTTAAAAGAATCGTGGATGGTGTGAGGGAGACGAGAGAGAGGAAAAGAGGAGTGTTATTTTGTAGGACAACTTTCACTATAACTAACGGAATCACTGCTATCTGTTAGCTCACTGGAATCTTTTTCTTTTTGTGCAACTTTAACAAGGAACCTGTCCAATGACAGCCGCTTCTGCCTCCTTTTCGATTTCGCGGAAATGTGACATTGCATTGTCGTTAAACAGATTCATCACTCGCACTGCTAAGCCCTTATTAGGATGGTGCTTTTCTAGTAAAATTTTGACTATACGAGTGAGGCATGCCGACTGAGACTAAGCATGGGAGATGATTACCCACAATCCTGCAGCGAGAAAGAGAGAGAAGAACCATCAGCTGAGTTGTGATCACGTGACACTCGGCAGACAAAGCGCATATGTAATACTCATACTGCAAGACCTCGCTCGTTTATCAAGTTAAGATTTATTAAAAAATTTTGCTTGTCTTGCAAAACACTCGCAAACCAAGTTACTCGCAATCCGAGGTTTTACTGTATCTCTGCCCGTGAATTCCTGAATGAGACCCACTGACCAGATTGTGTTGTTTCTCTTTTATTACCTGCAGCATGAGCATGAGCTCAGCGTTGTTCCTGTCCAGGGAGATGTCGAAAGGGGTCTTGTCGAACTTGCTGAGGGCGCGGACATCAGCGCCGTGCTTGAGCAGTAGCTCGGCGACCTTCTTGTGGTCCTGCTCTGCCGCCCAGTGCAGCGCAGTCATCTTCAGCATGTCTTTAGCGTTTACATCTGCCCCGTTCTGTCCAGGAGACGTGCCGAGACAAAGCAGGGGACATGGTACTATACTGATGCACTGAGCCCGCATGCAAAAATGCGACAAAAAGTATTTTCAGAAGTTCACACAAGATACGGAAAGCAGAATATTTATTGGACCTTTCAAAGTGTACCAAACTTTTCATGGGCCCTAAATATAACATCCTAGCACACACACAACACACATTAGAAAGCTACTAACCTGTAAGACACTTTCATTATTTACAGCAGATGTCCCCAATTCTGTTTCTAATGGCCTGCTAGCAAGCTTAGTAATGAGAAGGCCTATAATGACCAACACATGCTAACCCTGATCTACAAGATAATGACTGGCAAGGTTCCCCCCTCCCCCAACATCATGAATGGTTTATTTAAAAAAATCCACAGAGTGAACAACGACAGAATGTCCAACAAAGCCATCAAAATTTCCTGTAATGTAGAGATTGGCCACAAGTTAACTGTACACACTGTAACACATAACAAACACAAAAAAAATGATATTTTTGTGTGGTTTCTCTAAAATGAGAACAGAATCTGGTTGGATAGTTCACAGTACCACTGAGCCATTTACAATATCCATCATTCAGTCATCTAGACAGATAGTTCACAACTGGATCACTTCATCTTCTAATTTCAGGACTATTTAATTGACTATTGTGTAGTTAGACAGCAATCTCTGAAAAAATTGGGTGATACAGACCCAATACAGAGCCTGTCCAGCCTGAGAAGCCAGCAGTGGAAGATGCTACATCATGCTAGGTCAAGTTTCCAGCTGTAACAATCCAAAAGCAGTAGGTGTTGGTCTAATTTCTACCTGGCTGCCATGGTGAGTATTTATTTTTATTTCTTGCTCGTCCTCGATGTTGGTAATATGTTGGTCTCCACGGATTGCAAAGGTTTCATTTACACATACAATACAGGTACAGTGATACATAAACTCCACAACAGGAGTGAAGTTTTATTTTCTTACCTGGATGAGCAGTTCCACAATTTTCGAGTGGCCTTCAGCAGCGGCCATGTGCAGAGGGGTCCGGTCCACTTTCGTCCGGGCATCCCTGCTGACGCCCGCCCTAAGCAGAACTTCGGCGGTAGAGAAGTGCCCAAACTGGGCCGCAAGATGCAGTGGCGATGTCCCTAGCTGCCAAAAAGAGGCAGTAGGGTCTTTAGGACTGGGCCTTGCAATACAAGAGGATTATAGTACTGCAACAGCATGAATGCATGATGAAGTTCACGCTCTACGATACTGCAGCAGTGGCTCAAAACCTCCAAGGTTGGAGGTTTGACCCTCACTTCTGCTGTGTGTGTGTGTGTGTGTGTGTGTGTGTGTGTGCTTGCTTGTATGGATTATGTTCATCTTGCATAATCCCCATAGAGTTTTCCCCATAGAAATGAATGGAGCGTCCCCACAAAGATATAATTACAAGCTTGTGTGTGTGTGTGTGTGTGTGTGTGTGTGTGTGAGGGGAGTATGCATGCTCTCCATGTTATGTGGGTTGCCTCCTGAAATCCAAATACAAGCAGTTAGGCTGTACTGTACGTTATCTTTAAACCCTCCATTGTATACGACTGTGAATGCATGTATGCGTTCTACGAGGGACTGGAACCCCAGCCTTGTGTCCTTGGATGGGCTCTAAGCCCCCTGTGACACTTTCTTGGATTGGTGATTGGAAGATGCAGCACATAAACTGCATTTCTGTTGTAACTCATATTGATGTCATTCAGGATCACTTCATGCCTGATATGTTCACAAGTTGTTTACAGTTGACACAGACAAATCATGAATATAAACTGGACAGTGTATGCAACTGATGCAAAACAAGAATAAACATTTTAGCAGCTTTTTACAAACAACACTGGAACTGAAAACCTATAAAGAATGATGGCGGGCGAAATGAAACTGGAACTGTGGAATGTGCCAAAGTATCACGTACCCAGTCTGTGGTGAACGGGGCTCCACTGGCCATCAGTGACCTGACGTCATCGTCGTGACCTTTCCGTGCAGCTTCCAGCAGCCGCTTCCCCAGATCCACCAGTGACATCTGAGGTGTCGGAAAGTGAGGTGTCGGTCAGTAAAGCAGGGCAGACGTAAAAGCTATAGCACCTGTAGCTCAACAAATAGGGCAATGTGTCAACACCACAAAGGTTGTAGGTTCAAGTCCCACAGAGTGTGCATGCAAGTTGCAATCCTTCCCTCTCTATAAGCTGCACTGGATAAAAGAGTTGTGTAAATGCTTGAGGGGGGGGGGAGTGTTCAGAAGTTCCAGTGTAGAAATTAACCACTCAAGACACTTCATCATAACCATTGCTTCAGCATGTGCTTTCATCCAAGGCAACATGTCGTTTTCAAAAGAGCTGGGTCAGGTGATGGAAATGTTTTTAGTTTTTAACACACAAGACGAAAAGCTACATTTCAGTAATAGTGACTGGCACTTTCAATTTACTGTATAATTTTAAAGATGTTCACAATGTTAGAATGTTCAAAAGGTGGCTATTACATATTAATGTGTGGTACCTAGATAATTACACAAACACATTCCAATTTTTAATTTTCATTAGTGTATTTTCTGACAAAAAAAAAACTCAATGTGTCTATACCTCCAATTTGAATACATGTTTTGAATTACATTTTTCATTTTGGAGTTTTAAATAAAATCACTTGCACGACGCGTTATAATCAGTAGTATTTTCTATTGACTGAACTAAGTAATGGAATTCTAAACACCCGTTGAGTTCACAACAAAAGGAGAAGTACAAGAAAGTTACCAAAAAGTAAGGAAATAACTAACAGGAAAGTTTTCAAGCATAGTTAAGGTTCTCATACGTCGAACATCAACCAAAGTGTGCCATCTCAAACCGTAGCTGTTTAGAAAAGATAACTAAAAATACAAACAAATAACTGGAATGAGGAGGTTTTCTCCGTTTATTATTAACCATTGGTTGTTTTGAAATAAATGTAATCGTAATGTAGTTAGACTTTCCGGCAGAGATCTGATACGAAATTTCCCACTTTACCTAAGAACATTTTTTTCCCTATTTCCACATCCTGTCTCTAGTGAGTTACAGACTTCGGCGTCTTTAGGAAATAACCAGAGCAGGGAGTGTATTTGTTTAGAGGGGCTGAGAGGAGTAAAGGCGCCGTGATATCAATAAGGGGACAGCGAGCTCGTCAGCTCGACCGCGGGGTGTTTTAAGGCTCCAGGAGGGAGGTAACGGGTAACGTTCTCTTCGGGCAGAGAGATGCGGAGTGTAGCGCGTCGCCGAGCCGCTTAATTAATTAACCAGAGTGTGTGTAATTACCGGCACGCGCTGTTAGCACGAGTCGTGTCACGTGCTCCTCTTCCGCTCCCGCTCGCCTCCCCCAACCAAAACAACTGTCTGCTAACTTTATTTCACAAATTGCTTCTCTTACTAAACTAATCAACTTTCACTTTCGCGTATTCTATATAGTTGACTACTTACCCTGGTAAGTCGTTTATGGGAACGTGATACCTATACCATGGGTTTCCTGCGGTGTTTAAGTCTTCTCTTACTTTTACACAACTTTTCAAAAGATAAATATTTATTGTTGTACATTTGAGCGGCTGTCCAACATGGATCCCGAGCGACACCGGAAGTGAAAGTGCGGGCACCGTTGGTTTGTCGGATGTGTAGTTATGGTTCAAGTGAAGTTGTCTCAGACATTACATTTATCATTCAGTTATTACATTAATACATGCGTGTTTACGTGTTTGTCTGTTTTACAACTTTGACCCGCATTGTTTTTAAGACGGGATCAATATTTTCTCCTATTGAATGAATGCATTATACTGTGAAGGTACAAGTGGATGGCGAGAAGGGGCGGGTTTTACGGAACATTCAAAATAAATCAAAGTTTAAGGCGGGAGTAACCATGATTAATGATGTTACTGGTATTTGGATGCTCAAATCATGCAGCGGAATGGTATAGTGAAGTGCAAGCAGAAAGTTGGCGGTCTGAGTTGCATTTTTATCCCAAAGTTCCCTTTGCTTTAAGTAATAATGGGTTCTATCTGAGTAGATTCCAGCTTTATTTATTATTCATAATAAATTATAACCACAATAGACGGTGAAAATTATTAAAAAGGTTGCCAATGCAGGATACAGATAGACCTCTGAAAATAATTAAGATAATGAATGTAGAATCTGAATATAGCAAATTTTTAATTTAAGACAATTTAAGGACATTTAAAAGTAAAAGGCTTATCTTGAAAGCGTACTACAGTGTATATATACATGCAAACCAGCTTGGGAATGCATATTTGGATGCATTATTTGACATACAAACTCCGTATGTCTCTGCAGTACCTCCATACTTAATTAGCCAGATGACAAATTCCCTCCTGAGACCCGATTTGCCCTTTTCATTGAGAACCATCTTTCATCTCTGTAAGACATTGCTTATGTCAGCAAATAGCTGTGACTTTCACTTGATAAGACTGCACAAGTTATGATCCAGCAGTGAACATGCTGAAAATCAAAATCAGTGCTAGTAGAAGAAGTCTACTTTTACTGCCAGTTCTTTTAAAGTGTGATCTATAAATGTAAGAGTGCCATCTACAGATATCTGTACCTTATCTAAAAGAAGAAAATGTAAATTGAGCTGTGTGTCACATCACAGGAGGACAGTGGAGGTGCTGCCCTGATCAATAACGCCACCTAATGTTATAAGTTGGAAAATTTCCTGTCCATCATTGACCAGAATTTATTCCAGGTATATTTTGTCAGGTTGTCTGTAGCTACCAACACCTGAAACAAGACTGAGTCGGAGGTATATGATTTTAAACCTAATTTGTAAACATTTAATGTATATATTAAGGTGTAAAATCTATGTGATAAATGGACAAGATGGATTAAGCATCAAACTTAATACCTCCAACCTTTTTTTAAAAAAATAATATTATAGTATCAAATCCACATTGAATTCTCTACTTCCTATAATTACAAACATACTATGATTTTTTTTTATTGCAGTGCAGTTTCCCACTACATTAAGAAATACAATTTACCGATTAAAATGACTGCTGTAAAGAGAACAGTTATTCTTTTGTAGCGGCGCCTGACACTCGGGTGACAACGGCTTTGTTCGGTGGAAGAGTGCGGTTCTTACCAGCGCTGATGAAAGTACGGAGTAATATCACGCAAGAACCCGTTCAGTCTCACTCGGCTTATAATCCAACATTTTATTGCCAAGCATGCGCGCCTATACGTCCTTGATGGCCTTAATTCTAAATTTAAACATTACAAATCTGAAAATAAAACCTTTATTTTACCGCATGCTCACGTGTTGTTTTCATATCACCGTAAATATCCTCGCCTTGTCCAGACAGGAAATGTCTACATGCTTGCTCTTGTTAAATAACACATGAAGTTGGCTGAAACTACGCCGGCATGCTTGTTGCTTCTCGAACTGGGTGTTTAACATCTTCCATAAATGTTGCCACATAGCCACGTTCAGCCTTTAGGGCCGCTAGATGGGGCAGGAGAAAAAGAGAAAACGTTTGCAGCTGAGGAGGGATTGTAAAACAGAACATTTCCTGATTGAGGACTTGCAACCACACCTCAGCTGGTGATTTCGCGTGCAATCTCAGGGGCAAGGCGGAGGGTAGAAATGCAGTTTTCTTCGAGGGCCTCCCTGCTCTTTTAAACCTCCTGACCAGTTTGAAACTTTAACAGCGCAGGTAAATAAATCTCATGATTTTTCAAAGCGCAGAGCTTTAACATTCTTGTTTAAATTTAAAAATATATATATTACCAAAGTTGACATTTTTCGCGTGTAGTTTCAGTGAACAGTTTCAAACCCGGTAAGCTTTTAAAGTATTTTTTCTAATTACAATTTCTGTAAGTTTCAAGGGCGTAATGATTTAGACCAGATTTAAGCGGAATAGGCTTTCCATTTATTTATTTCCAGTGTTTTTCCTGTGACCGCCGGGAAGGTATGGTTGCCTGTTTGCTTTGGTGCTCTGACTGTTTTTCTTTTAAATCTGTCCGAGCATGATTTCTGTGCTGTGAATTACCTGCGATTGAGCCGATTAGTAGGACGCCGAAAATAATTTAAAGTTTGTGCTGATAAGGTGGTAAAAAATTTTTTTAGAGAAGTTACTGAATTGTTAAGCGAGCTGTAAATTTAGACTTCGTACTGTATAATGGTACGTAGGCTATGAATGTATTTGTGTTGTGAGCTTTGAGTTTCTATAATATCGTATGACTACTTTTCCTTCGTGGCCAAATTAAACCACTCGGGTATGTAAAAGACGAATGTATGCTAGATTTATGTAAACGTTTATACTCGACAACAAACCTTGGGCTTTGTGCGAGGGCAAATTAAGAATGACTAAAACTACGGTCATGTTTTAGTCCCGCGGTTATTGCACTTTGTGATGATTTCATGGAAGGATTTAGTACGCTTCATGATTTATAGATGAGATGTTGGGCTTGTGTAAGTCCTGTATAAAATGTTATTAAACAAATCCGCAAAACAGCAGCTGTCACAGACAATGAGCCATTTAATGTTTCAAGGCTTTTGGCCGCTACTCAAAACTGACGTGAAGAATAAGTATCGGAAACAACCTGAAGTATCCCTGGCCTCCGTGTACTGAAACTGGCGGACTGCTGCTCGCCTGGACGCCTTGCTGTGTTTTTCTAGAAGGGATATCCAGGTATTGGTTTGTATATAACCGGATTTACACGCACCCCCCAGTGTGTAAACAGTTACCAACTTAGAATCATGGGAAAGAATCCCAGAGCTCTCCATCTTCCCACGTGTGTTTATTTCCGCGACATGCCTTAATGAGTCTCCGATTCCGGAGAGGTTTTTTTTTTTTTTAGGAAATCTCTTGTATATAACCAAACGAAGCATTTTTGAGGTTCTCCCCCTTATCTATTTGGCCGTAATTATGTATACATTCGTTTTTGATAGATTTGAAAAGTTTTGTCAGGTGACCTTGAGTAAGGGCATATAGAAAGGAAAAGTTATCTCTCTGAGTGAAATTTACCTTCGGTTTCCAAAGGCCAAGAACACAGAATAATTTGTTTTGTATATCGATAAGTTCAGTTTTGAATATTTGCAAGTATTTCTACATAAGTGTTAATGAATTCCACGTGTTCTTACTGTAGATGGTGGTTGGCATCATGATACATTGTGAGTGCTTTTGTCTGGGAAAATGCACATCCATTCTGAGCTTTGGTTTTCTCATGATGAGGGATGTTTAGGTTTGAAGCCCTGTTAAGCCTGTCGAAGGTGCGTGAGACTCAAACGCATCCCTGTGATTCCGTTAGCTTCTCCCCACTCTTTGCTTCTACTTCAGCTTGTTTTGACCATTTGACACACTTTCACCATTAATCAAAAACATTCTAAGTAGAGTCGTGCTAGGACAACGCTATGTCTTGCTTTTTGTAGCACCTGGATTAAATACAAAAGTAAATCGGGCAAGAAACCATCTATGAAATCTTAGCTATCACAGTTTGCAAGTAATGACAAAGATGTGAGACGCCGGTTGAATGACTAGATGAATAAAACTGATATTTTGTCTATGGATGCTGTAATGCGGGGGGAGGGGGGGGGGTAAAGTTACAACGATTTGATGGGGCCCTAAAAATGTGGAATATAGTGGGATTGGTCTAAGTTGGGGGCCCAATATGCTGTATTTTCATGGGGCCCAAAATCGGTACCAGCACCCCTGCCTGCTTTGGGGATTTGTCTTCCTCCCAGAAAAAAAAATGAAACTTTCGAATTCCCCAAAATGTGCTGTTCTTTTTGCTTAATGTTTATGGATGAACTCGTTCTAAATGTAGTGAAGTTATCAGGTGAATCTGAAGTGGATTATGCTTTTGAAGAAACAGTGGCAAGACTCTTAAGTGTAAGACCATGATCATTTTAGCATTCTGCAGTGTAACGGTTTAATTTTGTAGTTTAGCTTTGTCGAACCTTTACCTCGTCATCTGTAGGCATGGCAATGATTGCTGTTTAACTAAAGGAAAACATTTGTCTCGTGTACCAATCTACAGTAAACATCTCAATTAAGCTGAAATTATCCTACTAATGAACTGTGACTCGTTGTTATGATTACTTTTAAAAAGGATGTTTGATTCCACTTCTGTCTCACAATGTTTACAAGTCCCGAGACTTAATGTTGAATATGAATGCATTAAAAACTCATCTCATTATTCTGAAAGGAATAAAGGAACAACTTTAAATGTACTGTCAAGTCTATTAATGGTGAGAGGTATACAGTACTGTGCAGAAGTCTTAGGAAATAAAAGAAAAATGTTTAGATCTACAAGTTAGTCTGTCAGCTTTGCCATTTAAAAATCTCATGAAATACCCACATTGTCAGCTGCTACTATCAAATAAACTGATGTATCTTTTTCACTCGCTCACTACTACACCATCAAGTTATTTAACTAATTAAATTAAATTCTGCGGCTTGTGAAATTGAACGTATACATGGAGTGGCTGAGGCGCTCCTGCGGAGAGGTTTGGGAACTGAAGCAGTGTTCGTTAAGCCATCCAACAAGATGACTTTTTAGAAGACAGAAAAATTCTTGTTTAGCTTCTGTGTTACTGTTAATTTGCATTTGTTCTACTGTTAAATTGTGGTGTGTTCCCACCCCCCTAGCAAATACACACTTATTACCCAGATAAACCAGGCTTGTGCCTTTTTGCACAGTACTGTAGGTTGAAATGCATTTAACTCCAACTGAACATATTAACAGGAGAGAACTTGTCACTGCAATAGTTCATTATAATGTCTAAGTGTAACGTCTCCCAGCTCTCCAGCTGAATCTGCCATACAAATGTTGCTATCTGTCAAAAGCATTTTTAAAAGGGATCCTGTTTTGGAGTAGTAAATGAACAGGCCACGGTGGCCCAAGCTAGCTAATGCGATTCCTCTCTTCACCCTCAAGCCATTAACCGGTGGAATTTGTTTTGCCTCAACAGGTCCCTCCCAGAGCTGGGGAAGTTCTGAAGAAACAGAAAAGCAAGCAGCAGCGGAGAGGACTTGGAGCAGAACCTTTGGAGGTTTGGGGAGACGTCCACACTGACTGCTTTTGAGACTGCCCTCGGTATCGGACTGATTCTGGATGGCTCTTGATTTAATAGGACTTCATCGATTTGAAGACTAGCCCTCGTCTTCAGTTACGTCGTCAACTGCCAGTAAGGCGGCAGGACGGGCAAGGAATTAAATTGGCAGATGCCAGGGATGAGTGAATTCTGGCACAAGATGAGTTGCTGTGTGGTGACCAAACCCCCACCGGTGAGTGTCTCATCCTCTTCTACCCCCATTAACGGTCGGTCACATGTTCTCTGCTCCATTTCCCACTATCAAGATTGAGATGGACTGTTTGGGCATCAAGCTTAGTGTGTTGAGCATGATCAGTTTGCATGATTTGTAATCTGTTTACCGTAGGGTGCCTTGCGTTAAAGTAACCACCAAAAAAGTAACCCTAAAGTAACGTTTTGCTTATTGTCACAGTGACACAAAAACTATTTTTCTTTTTTTTCTTAAATAAGCTTATTTTTTCCCCCCATAGCAACTATTTGAAGTCCTTTATAGGTCAGCCCTCTAAAAAGGGTGCAGTGGATAAGATGGTTTTTCTGATTGGTTGAATGAACTAGGTAACCTACATACTGAAATCACAGGAGTGTTTTGGAATTATAAATGCAAATGTGAGAATGCCCAAACATCAAGCACATCTAAGACAAACTGCTATGTAACAATATCTTTGCATCCTACCATGGGACCCATATTCGAAAACGTTTAAGTGAGACATACAAATAAGGCCATTGTTACTGGCTTATAGCTCAGGTTAGTGGCTCATTTGTTCTGCACCCTTGTGATTGTTTTTCTATTTACTGGTTCATTGCTTTTAAGCAGCTAGGAAGGAAATTGATACTAAGTGCTTCAACTAATATAGTGACGTAAATTTTAGCCTTTTGGGATGAAACGAAAAAGTGTCATAACATGCTATTTACCGTCCTCACTAGTAAAAAATGTTAGTGCCATTTGAAGGAATTTCTCTTCTTTCTAGTTCAGTGTATTCATTTGGTATTCTTGTAGTCCTGATAATTCCCAGGAGGACAGATTGATTTTGATCTGTCTCATACACTTCGGCCTGTAATTTTACTCAACTTGAATGCAATAGTGAGAGCATTCAGATCAGTGATTTGCTTGAAGCTTGCATAAAATGTTATGCAGTTCATATGCAAAAACTGTTAACCCCACATTCTGTTTGACGTGTGTTTGTCCAAGTGCCTTTAAAGTGTCCTCTGTTCTATATAACTAAGTTCTGATAAGGGTAACAATGGAATGAACTACCTTCTAATACATCTAGAGGACGTTAGACGGTCACAAGGAAATCTGTGCAGCTGTCTTACTTGAGATAAACCACCACTGGACAAAGGTTTAACAGAGGAAGCTGACTGGTTGGATTATATGAAGAGGAACTTTTTTTTCTTCCCCCCCCTTACCCCATTCTTCCTTCCTTTTTTTGTTTAATCATGTTTTCCATCCTTGGAAAATGAGTGGAGTTGGGGTTGGTGCTTGTCGGGACGGTTGACATTTTCCAGTAAAGACTTTGCTGGTTAGAGCCATATTGTTTTGTGAAATCCAGTTTTGTGGTCATTTCCTGTAGTGCACCATGAGGCAGCATGGAATCTACACAGGCAGCCGACCACATGCCTTCAGCGTAATGCACATATAGCAGGATACTGAATGGACGATGAACTCGGTGGAATGTATTTTCTTCTTTGGCGGGGAGTTCCTGGAGAAACATTTCAGTGTCTTGTGTAGCACATGACCCTGGGTCACAAGATTCCTAAAAGCTGTTGTAAACATGAAGGAACTTTTACCTTAAGGTTTTCTCTTCCATTGTCAACTCAAGTGTGTTTTTAGTGAGACTGCCATTAGAAAATGCGTAATGATTTATGTGCTGTTGTCATACTGTCAAGAAGAATGTAATGTGGTGTACAAAACTTAGTCTTTGGAAAAATGGCATTCGAGGAATATTTTAAATGTGAGACTGGCATGTAGCTTGGCACGTTAGGAGGCCGTAATTGTGATCAGGAGACCGTTGAGCAAGGCCCTTAAGCCCTAACCCCTGCTCCAGTGTCTGACTCTGCTTTGGCTCTCACAATAAATAGTGTGTTCAATTTTGTTTTCTTTACACCAATAGATGTTTCTCTCTTACAGCCTCATTGTTATGTTGTGACTGGTGGGAGGTATATTAATTTTATTTCTGCACCCAGGTACTTTAAATTTTGCTTTGTATATATAAGGGGGTGAATTTTACCTGCCTGTTGGCAAAACTCCTATTTTTACAAGCCCCTGAACAGCATAATCTTGTCCTTGACAAACCCCACACTGAGTTCCTTCAGGTTTTATTCTGCTTTGTGGACCTATTGGCATTTTAGCCTTTATATAAGCCTGTAACTATTATCCTTGCTAAGGACCTGCTTTTGTGTCTTTAATAAAGTGAACTAACCAACTCTTTAATGAGTACTGTCGGTTTTCTGGTTTCAGAAGAAGAAGAGGAGAAAGATTGATCGCAGCATGATTGGGGAGCCCATGAACTTCGTCCACCTGACACACATCGGCTCTGGGGAAATGGCTGAAGGAATGCCTCCGGTAAGAGCTGCAGCAAATCACTGGACGACTTGCGCTACTGAAGTGACCATTTGGGTTTCCCACAATACTGAACTGCTAGATGTGCATGGAATGCATGGACACAGATTCTGATTTTGCTATTGGCCCGCAATGCTGATTGAAAGTGTCAATACTTTGCTGGCTAATTGGACTGGCTGATTGCTTGCAGTATGTATGTTGTATGCGTCATTGCATATGTGCTGTGATTACGAATATCTGCTCTATGAATAAAATGTGCTTGCAGTTGATCTGACAGCCCGTAGACAAATTGAAATTATATCCCTAAATCAATTTTTTGCTTGCAGTCTATCTAGCTTTACTTTTATTGCTGTGCTCTAGAAAATAAGCCTTTTGTACCCTTTTCTTCTTTAAGCCTAATTGGGCGATGAGCTGTTGGTGTTTTTGCAGTAGGTCTCCACCATGCAGCTTCTGCTCCAGCATTCCTAACTTAATTTTTTAACAATCCTCTTTTTAATCCACTAGCATGCTGAACAGTATGGCTGGGTGATATTTTTAGGACACATCACACTATTTTCAAGATTTTCAATATTTATCACGGTGTTCTAAAATTCATATGTAGAAAACGGTAAAATATGACTGGTGGTTTTGAGTTTTTCTGATGACCCGATTTGTTTTACTAAGTTATGGAGCGTGTGACAGATATAATGATAAATGAAGCCAACAACAGACTCATACCTTGATGGAATTTGTTTAAAAATAGTGCATTATATCTGTTAATTATGCCAGAAAACATAGGCTATATCACGACACTCATGATATTCAAATAGATGACGATATGCGTGTTTATAATCACGATACAATATTTTATCAATACATCACCCACCCAACTGTACAGTCGTGTCTGTTAATGACAGACATGTTCTGAGGAATTCTAATTGTAAATCAATCTTTAGGCAATTTCGTCATTGTGCGAACATCAGAGTGTGTACACACTGTTCTCCACTGCATGCTGGATGTTACTCCCTTCTCGGCGTTTACCATGCCGTCTGCTGCCGTTGTTCCTCTTCACCCTTCTCTGTAGCCCCATGTTACGCCCCCCCCCCCCCCCCAATTCTGTCTTGCTGTAAAAATTTCTTTCTATACCACGTCCTGATCAGACGCGTCAGGAACACGGCGTAGCTTGTATTGCGATCTGCATTCCTTTCCAATGCATGACCTCACTGCTATAACAGCAACGTCCATATTTAGCCTGAGGGGTGGGCTTCCTTCCCCTGTCTTTGGTTGTACTTTTGTGTGGATTAATACGCCTCAGTGTTTGCCTTCCCGGATGGCCTCCTTTTGTTCAATCGGCCCTTGGAACAGGACATTCAGTATAGCATCACCCTGAAGACGTTACACGGAGGTGGACCTTGGCTCCTGAATAGGGCTCTGTCTCCATCTCTGGGAAACGGGACTCTTGGCCTCTCCGCCCCCATCTCGTCGCAGCCGCCATCGCTTCTCCATAAACCCTGCTTTACATAACATTATGCCGGAGCTGGAGGCGGAAACATCCCTGCAGAACGGGCCTTAAAATAGCCGCCTTTCCCGAGAGCCCGGTCAGGATGCTGGCATGGACGCGCAGTGGCAGAGTCGCAGCTGAGTGGAAGCGTCTGCAGTGAAAGGGCCTCTGTACCTCCAGGAACACTGGAACTTCCCAGCCAGCGACTGAGTCGGGGCCTTTCTGAAGTCGGCACGTTGAACATGATCCACCTTACAGTAGCGTGAGCCACACGGCGGCACACGCAATCCCTGTTAAAAAGCTAAGGGGAGCACTGGCTGTGTCTCTTCTCATGCCATATCGCAGTAACAAAAACGACTTCTTCCATACTAACAAAGTTGTCAAGGAGACGTCTGAGAGAGATGCTCGGCATTCAGTGACGCACTTGTAGTGGTGACCTTGGGTGTAGATCATAGATGACTCTTTCCAAATCAGATTTGTCATTTTAAATACTCATGTCTGCTCTTTTCATACCGGTCTGCATTTCAGCTTATAAAAATGTTGGTGGTGTCGTCATCGTCATCCCTTTATCTAGTCTACTCCCAACTAGGACAGATTACTCTTTTTCTCTTGGCTGGTTCTGCAGTCATTCCTTTTATAATTTTAGGTTTATCAATTGAAATATGAGAATCAAAATAACTAGCTGGGCTGTAGAAAATTAACTGCATTTGTCTTTGACAAATTATTGCCCCTTTCAATTTTTAGCATTGTTGAAGGTTTCAGAAAAGCTTGATGCTCTCTTAGCGTTAAATTCCTGTGTCGTATGAGACGGCTGAATATGGGTGTGGAGACAGTGGCCATGTGTGGACTTGTCTTCCTCAAAATCAATGCCAGATGATCTAATGGGGGTTTAAAAAAAAAACAAAAAAAAAAACTCCACTTTGTGTACAGTCTTGACGACAAAATCTCTTGGTCATCCTGACACTCAGGGAAAAAACATACGATCATTGTCATCCGGGGTCTATAGGAGAGACCTGACCTGACTGGTTAACAAGTCTGGAACCTTTTGTTTTTTTAAAAAAAAAATATATATATATCTATCTATCAATCAAATGATAAATTAGGTTTCAAATACAGCTGTGTTGTCTACATATCGAGTGGTTAAAATGCCTTCGAATCATCGGATGTCTGCTAGCTCTCTTCCAAGCTACGCAACCACAGACTGATACTGTGTAACTTTTTTTTTCTTTTTTTTTTCCTCTCTCATATCCGCAGTTGGGGTCAATGCAGAAGATGAGGTCGAAAGTGCACAGCACCAATGGTCACAGTGGTGTGTGATAACTGCCCAGCGGGTGAGTCGGTTCTTCGCCTCGGCACAGCAGCCTTTGGCTTAGTGCTGCGGCTGATTCTTCTGCGTCTTCAGCCACTCGCCCTTCAAGTTAAATTACACTGGACTGATTTTCTTGATTCTTCCCCCCCCTTTTCACTCTCCTTTCTCACAGGAAGGTAGCTAGTGACTTTAAAGGCCTACAGAGCAGTGCTAAGAAGAACACATTTTAAATCCCTTCTCTTCCACACCTCTTTAAGCACCTAACATAACTGGGTTGGTCAACTCTTTGGGGAGGTTTTCAGCGTAGGAAGACTTGCAGACCAAACTTGGAAATTCCAGATGGTTTAAACCAAGCTTCACAAATGTCTGTCATGTGATTTAGGTCCCCCTTTAAGGTTGTGATTTAATAACTGCTAGTAAGTGAAGTATAGAAGAAAAATCTGAAATGACGCAGCTTTTCATTTACGGAAGCTGAAGCATGCTTGCCTTTGTTCCTGGCACCTTTACAGTGAAGTCCATGGTGATGAATTTCCAGTGCGCTTTACATCTGACTAGAGCAGGTAATGTGCTCCACTGGACCCTGTTTCTGTGTGTAAGCTTTGGTTGTCTCTCTTGCAGGAAATGGCAAATATCAGGACCTCCCTTATCCTTCTAAAATTCCCTAGCAGTTACTTCAGTCCCAGAACAGCACTTAACCATGTCCCTGCGCAGTGTCCATCCTACGTCTTCACCCCACTGGGAACCAGTGAGGTGTGTGTGCTGGACACTAACGGCTGTGGACAGCCTTGAATGGTCTGAACTTTTATATACTTGTAATGCAAAGTGTTTTCTGAGTGTACAAAACCCTGCTGCTGCTGCCAGTCAACACGGATGTTATTAATACTGGGAAATCAGTCAGATAATGGTGCCGGCTTCCTTTTAAGGGTCTTGTATGTGTGTATATATGGCACTGCAGTACTTGAGGTTTTAACTTGGTTTTAGTTTGTGTTATCAGTGTGTAATCGGCGTGTCTTATTAACCTATTAGAGTATTATTGCGGTTTTGGTGCAGATTCCACTGCCAGTTCCCTTTTGAGGGAATATCCAGGTCAAGGCAGTGGTGCCAAATTGTATGCGCTCAAACACATGCCTATGTACATTAGTTTTATAAGCATTTTGTGGACAGTCATTAGCTATTGTAGCAATTTTGACCCTAAAAGAGTCTGTACAGTAAATTACAGGTCTTGATGTACAATTATCATAAATGACCCAGAGAGGATTGCGTGTTCCTCCCCAGTTCCTTTAGCACACCAATTTAATTAAAACACTAGAAAGGGTTTCCTACTTGCAAAGCAGCTTCCTGGTATTTATTCAGGGGGGTGGGGGTGGGGGGGGGGGGTTTAGGGCCCATAAATTCTGTTACCTCAATGCTGCTAGAGGGAGTTAGCTTGAGGGAGTTAGCTTTCCTGATCTGTCAATGGCGAAATCGCAGCATCACTCGCCCATTCATGGGCGTCTGACTTGCAACCAAATTTCCTGTCAAGAACAGATGTGACCTGCTGTTTTACATGGGGGGGGGGGGTTGTCTTGCAAAATCAATGTATAGGTACAGCTGGATGCATGATCTGTGTTCAAAGCAAGGTCGAATATTTTCAGGGTCATATTTTTACTTCCTTTTTATTTAGTCTCGGGAGTTGGGTTCGAGTCCCTCCCTGTGGGGGGCCTGGGCTCCAGATCCCTTCCTACTGTCATTTTGTCCTGTGAATTGCATTGCTGATGGATATGGAATGAGTATAATATTTAAATGTAAACCATTGTTTGGTGGATATTCCTGTTTAGTTCCAAATGAATATGCAAACTTGAACTTTTGTTTTTTTTATTATTGGATTAACTAATTACAGTGGCATGGTTTGCTAGCTTAAACCTACTTAGGATGGTGCCCTACAAGCTGCTCCCCTGAGTTTGGGAGCTCATGTTTGTAGCACTATATGACCTTTTCATACAACAGTGCTGTAGATATTTATATTGTCTGATGCGTGATTTATGATTCAGAACTATCATTTCAGCAAGTCACTGGACTTTTGTTTTTTGTTTTTTCTCCCTCTCTCGCATTCCCCCTTCTAGTATGTATGATGCCCAATTTATGTTGTTCCGTGTCATTGGTATAGGTGTGTATATTATTTGATGTGATATGATTTAGTGATTTAAACAATGTTAACTAAAAACTTTTTTTTCTTTTCTTTTCTTTTTCCTTCCAGTTAACCTCATGTAAACTTGCAGTAATATTTCTCACATGCTCATTGTCCTCCATACCCAGTTGTGTTAAGGTTGGATACTAAGTCGTCAGACTAAAAAGTGTGTGTGTGTGTGTCTGGGGAAATGCAGTGTGATTTGTTAAAATGAAAGAGTTTACTTAAAACTATGTGATCTTTTGTCGTTTGTTATATATATATATATTATTATTATTATTATTATTATTATTATTATTATTATTATTATTATTATAAAAAAAATATGCGGTCAACATTGACCTTCAAAATGCAACCAAAGTGGTAATTTATGTAAATTCCCTATAGTGGATTCACAGTAATCAAGGCAGCACTTTGAAAGGAGCAGCTTAAGGTATTTCAGCATGTGGAGGTGTGTGTGTGTGTGTGTGTTTAATACGGTGTTTCATGTGGTGTTTGATTTTCATTCCAGGTTTACAGTTCTGTTTGCATGTGTATCTGTGCACACAAGCTGGCACAAAGCACATGATCTTTTACAAACTGAACGGTTGTGAAAAATCTTGAACTATTTTTTATGGGTAAATTCTTTGCTCGTGTGTGTGTGTGAGAGAGAGTGAGTGAGTGAGAGTGAGGGAGAGATTTTTATATTTATCCTTGTATATCACAAAGCCCAGTTGCATGGTGGAACAAGATAAACATTTTAGAAATCTTTACAATGATCTTGCTGTGAAATTTTCTGTATCAATCATACAGTAAAGCGCTTCAGTAGTTTGAGGTGAAAAAACCTGCCATCTTAATTCCATATGGAATAAATGGCGTCCATTCTTCCTTTAACTAAACACTGTATCTTTGCTGAAGCATATCACCTCCTCAGGATCTAAGTGGAGAAATTTGTGATGCTTGAACAAGCAAAGTCTAAGGCCCAATTATTCTCCACACACGGTACTTTCTGAAACCCTTGATATGATCTTTGATCACCAGGTGCAATTTACTAATGCTGGTGCTTAGTGTTACTGTCCAAACACACTCAAAATAGACTGTGCTTGTTACTATGCACAAGGCTCTGAAATCTCTTATAGAGCAATAATCAGTTGAATTTTCAGAAAGTATTTTAGTTCTTGCTCTCTGCTTTCACACATGAACTTTGAACTCTGACAGTGAAAAGGAAATTAAAGTATTTATCACTGGGGTTCACTGGGCTTGTCCAGATCTTTTATGGCACTCCATAAAGCTTCTGATTTAATAAGGGTGTAAGTAAGATTAGTCACTTGAACTAATAGCATTATAAACATGATTTTTAAATGAAAATAAAGTATATGGGGAAAAACTGGTTTTTATTTTTACAAATATTGTTCAAATGCTACCATTCTGCGCACCATATGTAACATGTCATCTAAACATGTTGCTGTTGCAATAATGTTAGCTCATTCATTCATGATAGTACTATATACAGAGAAAATGATCTACACTGTCTGACCATGCCAGTATAACCTGTTATACACTGTCACTGGAGTGATCATGGGGCTGTACTGGGTGCCATAGTTGGTCTTTGGGAAATATTGCATTCTTTAAAAACAGCTCCAAGCTCCAAAAGACTTACTCTAACTGAATATAAACAACTTTACAATGTTTGTTGTACTGATTTCTGCAATGCAAGTTAAAAAAAAAAAGTGCCCTTTTAGATGATACATCTCGCTTCTTTAAAGGATGACAAAGAAATGGTGGCAAATGCTAGTTAGTGTTTAAATACGGGCAGGGAGCTTGCATTGTAACCAACAAACTTTCTGTCCCAACCCAGTTCTCATTGCTTAGATAGCCAGATCTTAGACATGCACAGTAACAACAGGATGCATCTACACTTCATCCAAACTGTAAGGTAGGACTTGTTGCACTTTTTTTTGAAAGGGCTGTTGCATAAGTTGACGAATGATCTCACCCTGAGCCATCAATCAGATGGCTGTGACACACTGGAAAGGGCTGCGTTGTTATTGCTTGTCCACAGAGCAGCTTTTATGTAACGTTCTTTTTGTTCCCGGTTGCAGTTGCTGCAAATTAGCCCCTAGCCCATAAAGCCAAGCTGGCATGGAGTCTGATACCCATGAATCACTGCCAATAAACTGGGCAGATAAATGTCATGTAGGATGGCAGGAAGCACCCACAAGTCCTGACGTTAAGCAGTAAGCTGTAACAACTTTCCCCAATACCCTATTACAGAACCCAAGATCAGAACCCAAGATCAGAACCCATGACTCTTGCTGCACAATGTTGCCTTCCTTGCTTTGGCACTGGAATATGGGGTGATCTCTGTCCCCATCCACGTTCTCCACTTGGCTGCTTGTTCAATAGTCCTTCCACCTGATTAGCCCGTCTATATATACAGTACATATTACAGGGATAAGGTGTGCATCTTTCACCTGTTCATCTTCTCATCAAACCTGCAAGACAAGGAAGATCTATTACTCTTAAGAAATTGACACAGATGTGCTTATTTTGGTCAAGGTGTCCACTCTTAGGGAGTCTTCAGCCTCTTAGTGTCTTCTGTTCAACTGTTGCTCCCTAATCTATATGTTAAGTGTCTTCTAGTGTAAGGTTTCGTCGACCCCACCTGAGTTTGGTGTAGCCCAGCTCCAGGAAAGCTAAACCTAATCAACTTTTGCAAGACTGGGGTCTGCAGAACCTGAACTCGTCTGAGAAGGCCAGTCACTCACTGTCGGATACAGTCTGGGATCTGCACATGCTCCATGGGAATGTATGTGCCGAGCTCCTGGAGGCTTCTGACGAATCGCACCTTTCGGCTGAACTTCACACTGTGGCGCAATCACAATGGGGAAAAAAGCACAATTTAGTGGAAGTCCTGAATCCATATGGGGATTTTCTGGTAGGTAACACTTATGTTTTTTTTTTGTTTTTTTTTTTAAAAAAAAAACTGACTTCATTTTGACCTAGGGGAAATTACTCAGATGAAAACTAAACAAAATGGTCCTTACAAGCAAGAAGAAATATTTCAGGATTGTTTATGCAAAATCCACTGAGTAATATGCAAATGACTTTTCTAATTCCAATATTGGGATATTAGAAATAAGTTCTGCTGCATCTGTTACGTGAAACTGCTGCCCACAATAACTAGTTGGATGTAGCATTTCTTTGTTTGTCAAATCTCCAAAAAGCCAGGCAGCAATAGGCAAATCCAACCAGTAACACTTTCCAGATCTGCGCAGTCTGGTAGACTTCAGCCCTGTGGTTCTTACCTGAGGAATGGCCTGACAATGGTGATCAGGCCCTTGATGAACCAGTTTGGGTGGACAACAAATAGGCCTTTCAAGTCTTTCCTCAGCCTAGAGAGGAAGAGGCACAATGAAGACTGAGTATCACGAATGGAAATGTGCAGACTGAACAGCACTAGTTAAAATCTACTAAAATGTGGCACTTCACACTGATTAAAGGAAGTTGGGATAATATAATGTAATCATGTGATATCATCAAGACAAAGAGCAGGTGTGCACACAGGGAACACGAGTGCTGGAATTGTTTAAAATGGTAAAAAATCATGGGGTATTTTGCAAGGAAATTCCTGTTCTACGAAAGACATTTGTGACACGACTGTGGTGGTCAATCAGAAAGGCACATCAGCTGGGTGGTGACTCAGCACAGCTAAGGTCATGACAGCAGTGTCACTGAGCAGCGCAAATCCTGCTCTGACGGGAAGCCAGCTGAAGGTGCTGCATGCAGCCAGATCACTCTCATCACTGACCGGCCCCCAAGGCCAGAGGACAGGCAAAAATCTCACAATAAAAAAAAAATCAACGTCTTGCTAGGATGTTGAATCGATGACACTTGCCCCACCTCTTTCTCAGAAATATGTTTAAATAACTGCCCATCCCAGTAACTGCTTCCACTCATCCATCGGAGGGATTCACCCTTAGTTCGTCTTTATTAAAGAGGGACATTTCAAAGTCATGCGATGCCCTTCCCTACATGAAGCACGCAGATGATATGCCACGATGGAACATGTGACTGAACCTTGCAGAGATTCCAAATAAAACAACTAGCTGATTGGCTGCGTGGCTGATTTTAGGAGTTAAACTATGCTTACTCTAGTGAGTAAGGAGAATGTTGCATTGTGAACGTTATTTTGCGTTTGACGTGAGGTGCCCCCCAGCCACCCAACTGCCAGCGCTGAGAATTGTGCCTGGGGTAATTTTTATAGACAAAAGTTTCCTACACCACATCTAGGCATGACATCACGCTTCTGACCACTCCAACTGCCTCAGACATTCTCAATGGAGACTATGATTCAAGAGTGAGACGTGCACAAGGCGTTAGGAAAGCCCAGCGCAAACCATAATGGAGCTTTGTCTCAAATCTGCAAACAACACGCAGCGTGTCCATTGACATTCCACACTTTTGTTGATAGGATTAACTGTGGTAATAATTAACAGGAGCAGCATTTAAATTTTATCGTTGACTCAATGAATACCACGATGGGTGGAACCGGGTCCACAACCAGCGTATTGGTCCGGCGCGGATAACATAATTGACTGGTAAGGCAGTACATTTTTGAAGGGCAAGCTCTATCGTGTGTGAGGTGAGCACACACTGTGATTGTAACCCCCAGTAAATAGGTTATCTGAGGAATTCTGGAGGAATACCCCCCCTCCACCAGACAGCTGTGCTAGCAGTCTGTGAATTAGTGCAGCATTCCTGTCATACTTCATAAAGGGGGCTGAGGGCAGAACACTGCCAAGCAGCACAATCCCACTTCATACTGGCACAGCCATTGGAGCTGAACACTCATTGGGCAGAAGCTCTGTTGATGTGCCCTCTTGTGGACCAAACTAGAATCACATGTGTTTTTCGGGAGCCATACCTGAGGGCCAACAACAGGTTTGTAAGACCAGAAGTGCAGTGTACCTTTATATGCTAAATGGATAATATATGATTTCAATAATTATGTCTTAGGCACACAGGAACTCAAGGCAGTAATACTGGGCTACGCAGCCTCAGTCTTCAGAGCCGCATGTTCTGCTGGTTTTATTACCTTTCAGTGGCAATCTGACTCAGCGCATCCTGTAAGGTAATTCCAATTCAGAAAGAGCAATTAAAGGCTCGGGTGGAATAAAAACCAGCAAATCCAGTGGCTTGTGACACGTAAACCTGGCCATTCTGAAATGAGGACTTTAGAAAGCACAACTACAAGGAACGTCATAATGCACAAAGTTTTTGGGAGCGGACAGCTCCAGTCCAGGTGAGTAGTGGAGTGACCTTTCTATACTATAGTCTACCTTTTGTGTAAAAAAGAGAAAATCGTCAAGTTTGCTGGTAATATTGGTAACAATTTTGAGGCACATTCATTATTCATTTTCCCAGTGTTACTAGCTGTGCGATTTAGCTACACTGACATATAATGCAAAAAAAAATCTTAAATGCTAAATGACAGACTGAAGTCCCTCAGCCATTTCATCGTGCCATTAACCAGAACTCTGCCCCTTAATGTAACCACACACACACACGCACACACACACACACGCATCCCATTCTGCTCACCTTCTGTCGATGGTCGTGTAACAGTCTCGCAGCCATTTGATAGAGGGCATCTTGCTGCGGGACACCGCACCGCACAGATACACTATGATGTAATTCTCCGACACCATCAGGTCCAGCGTCCCCAGAATATACCTGCGATGGTTGTCATGAAAACACATCAGATAGAGGCGTGCCGATTGGCCCACCCTAAGCTGCAGTTTGCGGTGCCTTTTAATCTATGTGATTCGCGATATAATTTCAACTGGGGTTCGTCCTTGTTTGAGATAAGCATAGTTACGTCCACTGTACTGCTAAGAATAATATCCTAAGGGAAAGTTGGTCAGTCAACGCCAAGGGTTATGCTCTGTCAGATGGCAACAATGTGATTGTAGGTTGTACATAATACCTGAATAGATTGTCCATTACGTATTGGTAGTCATCAATGGTGCTGTCAGGAAGATAACAGGAACTAACCACAATGATGGCATTCATTCCATCCCCATAGTAACCTAGAACACAGGGGTACCTCATCACTTCATGTTAGCGATCTTTAGCGGTGATCAGTCCATGACTTCAAGATCTGATCATGTCTTAACGATAGGCTCTACGTTTGTGTGACACTGTTTAGTCTGGGACACTTTATCTTGGTATATTATTAGTCCATATGCATGTATAGCATGTAGGGTGGTAAAGGTTGTCCATTGCATGTTATATCACAATTTGCTTTACAAAATGCTGCACAACATACATACATATTGACTATCAAAGTTTTGAAGGACAGTGCCCAAGCTAGCAGCCCAAGTTACAGCTGCCAATGTCAGAGGTCCAACTCAGACCCACCTCCATGAGACAGCACCTGAAGGTAGGGCTCCAGCACGCTCATGTTCACGAGACTCTCCTGTCCAGCGATATGGAGTTTGCGCCACCGTCGGCCCTGGCTGTCCACCCGGTCCAGCTCCAGTTGGCCCATCTCTGCCTGCTCTGCCGCCGCCCTATTGGCCGCTCTGGCTTCTCTCCGGCCCATCCGCGGGAGGTCATCTGTCGCCATCGACACAGTTAGCCGAGCGGTAAAAACTACCGCGTTACAGGTGTCAATTCACTGCCTGCACTAACAGAGTAAGTAAATATCAAAAACACGCCCTTAACGTAAATGCAAAGAAAATCGAAGCTTCCGTTACCCTCCCACTCCAAGTCTTGCATGCTGTCATTGAGTGTGAAGGACTCGCTGTCAGAAGGTGTCTCCAGCTCCTCCAGGTTGATGTCTAGATCATCCTCATCAGGCGACGGGGAAAGTGCAGCAGCCGTGAACTCGTCAGAAACTGCAGAGTCGCTGCGCTCCAGCGTCAGGCTGAGGGCTGGTGCCACGAGACGCCTTTTCCGTGTCCGGTTTCCTGACAGTGCCAAGCTGATGGGGGGACCTGCCATGACGACGGACCCATCAGCCAGTTTATAATAACATATAGTACCAGTCAAAAGTCTGTACACATCTGCTTTTAATGCATGTCTCCCTATTTTAGCTTCACCTTATAGTAAAAGGCCTGGAGGCAATGAAGTAGTACACAATAAATTTTGCAACAACCAAAAGAAGTGTTCAACATCTCAGAATTTTCTCAAATTTCAGGCCCGTCAAAACAGCTCCATTTGACTTGAAAGCATTGCAGTCTCTTGGCATTCTTTCAACCATCCTCCAGATGTAGCCACCTGGAATGCTTCTCCAACAGGCCTGAAGGAGTTTCCACAAATTCTGGGCACAAGTTGGCGCCTTGCACTTACTCTTTGATCCTACTCATCCCAAACCAGCTCTGTAAGGTTTAAGTTGGGATTGTGGGGGGCAGGTCGTCTGTCACAGAACTCCATCTCTTTCCTTATTCACAAGATAATACAGTATTTCCATAACCTTGAGGTGCACTTAGTATTGTTATCTTGTGATCTTCAGTAGGTGTGTCCAGACTTTTGACTGGTGCTGTATGAGTTACAGCAAAATGAGGCTTTTCCCAAACCACATTAAGACTAACATTAAGACATTTAATTTCCTTCTACACAGCAACAAAATCAATGAGACCGTTGTGATTAAACAAGCCGTATAAAGGATGACCCTTCATAGAACTTTGAGCACTCAGTACCCGGCCTGCCGCCATCAGATGTCGGACTTTCCACTTCATCTGGGCTCTGGAATGAACTCTCTGGAAGGGGCCTAAAATACATTTCACAATTTGAAAAATGTCAAGTTCAATTTCATTCTGAAGGACATAAACTGCTCCTACATTCAAGTGAAAAGGACACCTGTATATTTATTGTTTTATTATCAACACATTTGTAAACGTTTAACTGAAAATAAATATTAAAAAATTAGGACGTAGGTATGAAGAGAAGCATGACGGGGCAGTGATACATTATGGGATGGGACATTTAGAGCAGCTGTCCACAGTGCTGTACAGAGGCTGGACAAACTACCTGAAAGCAGTCATGAATGAGGAATCCAGCAGACACTGCACTTACGCTGATTGTCTTACGAGTTGTGTTAAGTTACATCGCCATCTAGTGGCGATCTTATGTTTTGCCACAGTTGAGTGGAAAATCAAATATAATCCATCCACCTATTTTCTATACGGTAGAAAAATTTATTGTTTTTCAAAGAAAATACCCGGATTATGCTAATTTAAATACAGTTGCCAATGTGCATTTATTGTGAACTGGTCTGCTACTGACAAATGCATTAAACCCTTAAACATTTATGGCATAAAGTTATTAGTTGACTGAAAATGTACAGATTAACTACACAACACGGAGACATATACAAAGATATGTGACATGTAAACCAAAAATTAACACCATACAAAATTCCACTGGGGTCACACCATGAGAATCACTGGAACGCTGTCACATTAAGAGGGGTAGCATGTGGCTCAGTGGGCTAAACCTGTGTGCCTGTAATCACAAGGTTGTTGGTTCAAACCCAGTCTCAGCATGTCTGCATGTCCTTCAATAAGGCCCTTAACCCCCAGCTCCCTGGGTGCTGCTATGGCTAACTACCCTTAATGGACAGTTGAGGGAGGTGTAAAGACAATTTCCCCATGGGGATTAATAAAGTATCAATTATTATTATTACATGATATAACAGGACTGCTTCAGCTGTGGTGAGCAACCTCACCTGGGAAGTTCATCATCTTGCCATTCCTCTCTGAGCTCCATGTCAGGGATGTTAGGCTGTCCCTTTGAGTCTCGGGAGCTCCTAGGAGATGAAAAGGAAATACGATGCATGAACACCAGGAGCTAAAACCAGCCAATTCTCTTCTACAGGGCTATTCAACTCACGGTCCTCGAGGTCCGAGCCCTGCTGGTTTTCCAGCCTTCCTTCACCTGTAAGCCAGGTGTGAAGCCTCTGACCAATCAGAATCAGTAATTATTAAACTAACTACCTGAGAGAACTGAAAACAAGGCCTGGATTTGGAATCGAGGGCCTGATCTGAATAGCCCTGCTCTACTAGATCCAGTCAGTTCTGAGCCTGGAGGAGAACTTCCAGAAAACTTCAAATTAACAGGAAGACCACAAGTGCAGGAGTGACATCTCAGCACAACAGCGAAGGGCAGGAAGATGAAGACAGAACCCATCTACTGTACCATTGCAGTGGCTCTAGTGGAAAAGGGGGTCCTCTCTGGTAATACACAGGTGTACAGTACCTGACTAACTGGCCAATGAGTGTATATTGTATGTTTATATATGAAGGTCATGAGATGCCCTTGTGATGTGAATGAGCTGCTCTACAAAGGGCCTCAGCAGGCTGCACTGTGGCCAACAACGTCCAGACAGGGGCGCCACTAAAGATCATCATCGGCCCCCAACCCAGACCAATTATGTTTCAAAGTCCCTGTCACTCAGGTCGGAATTGTCATAATCCCCCGCCCCCCCACACCTTACAGCACCCCTGCCACCAGCATTGGGGGTTCAAATCTTCCCACCACTGTGTGTTTGCAGTGAGTTTGCACGCAGTGTTAGAGTGGTTTCCTCCAGGCACTGGAGCTTCTGCTCCAAGTCCAAAGACATGCAGTTAGGCCAACTGCCATCTTTAAATTCTCTGTACTGGATGCCAGTGCGTGTGAATGTGTGAGTGTGAATGTGAATGTGAATGTGTGCACATGCACGTGTACGTGCCCTTCAATGGACTGGCATCCGCTCCAGGAGGTTCTCCAGCTTGTTCCCTATGCTGCGTGGAATAAGCTCCAGGTGAGCAGAATCAGGGCTTAGAAGTTGGATGGGAATATGAATTAGAAAGAAGGCAAGAGAATGGACATGTATCGGTAGTGATATAAGTCAGCAGAGACTTCAAACATACATATATATGTAAACACGTGACAACGAAAAAGGGAAATTTTAAAAACAATCCTGGTTCTTAAAATATTACCCTTCTTTCCAACAGCAAAACTTTAAAGGTGTATGTTTTGTGCTTTTTTTCTTGTAGGGTTCATGTTTTTTTATGTCCTTAGTTTAGTTATGTTCTTACTCGTTTTATGTACTTGCAGTTTTATCTAGTTTGTTATGTTTTGTTCTACGAAAACAAAACTGCACCGTTTTCATGTCCCAAACCCTGTTTGTACCTGACCTTTACACACGTCACTCAGCACCAGAAATTCAAGTTTAGTTTTCTGCAAAAGCTATTTCGACGACACTCCCAGATGCACTGAGACACTGCTCAGTTTTCATTTATGATTACAGATACACTGGAATACAGGTGACAGAGAAGCCCAGTGTCACACCAGCGTGTCACACACCCCCATGACGATACCCCAGCGAAAGCAAGGCGTGTTTTTTTGGAAAGTGAAAAAAGAATCTAACATCTGATCTAACATCAGTTTTTCACACTCAATCACCCTCCAGACGTGTTTTTTTATCTCCAGCAGATTCACCTGAAATTACTTTCAGAGGCAATAAGTCCTGGCCAGTAATCAACGAGCATTGTGGTAAAACTGAGTAAATTAAGATCTCAGGTAGAGTGAAAAGAGGGAGCTTGTGGCTTGTGTCTCGTTATAATACTGTATTTCTGAAATTCTGTATCACGAATGAAAAATCGAGGATGGAGTCACGCAAACAATTCAAAGAAGCTACACCCTGCTGTTCAGATGTACCGAGGCAGTAAACCACTATTGTCCACACACCCCAATGCAGACGGCACCATGTTCTTCTTAGGAAACTTCACCTGGCACAAGATCACACAACCATATGCCTGCATCATCACCCATCAACACACAATATAATACATGTTTTACTGGGGACACGTCAGACAAGGCATAAAACCATTAAATGTGTCATTTTATTTTGTACTGCAGCCCAGAACAGAACTGAGACACAATACAATGACCAGCCTGTTGTTGACCTGTTGATTTCACAAAGAGGCAATTAGCATTCCTGACAGCACCTAATCGGAGAGCCGCATTCACAGAAACCAGCTACGCTATGCTAACCAGCTAGTGGAACAGCCCATTACTCACACACCTGTGGTCCTGCGTGGCTGTGGAATGTTAAATAAAGTGGAAGTCATGCTGAGACAAGACCACAGGTCTGTACACCCAACCAACACACACAAAGGCGCAGGGAGCATCAAGGGAAGGTCGGTTGGGGTGCTTTATGCCATACAGTCGACGGCTCCGCAACACCCTAGAGACAATGCACAGCAAGAGCAGCAGCACAGGTACCTGAGGCACCTTGTCATTAAATCTGAAATCATCTGGTATCTATACGAGGTTTATCTTTAAATTGAAATTAAAAAATCATAGACAACAGGTATAAATTACAGATTGAAAAGTGGGTGCCACTTTACAATAAGGCTACCCATATAAAGGGTTTATGAATGCTTTATAATCTGGTTATTAATTAGGTTATAACACTTTGTAAATTATTAATACATAATTGTGGTACCGAAAAGTGTTTCTAACACATGACTGGTGCATTCTCTGCTCACACAGCATTTACAAATGTGGACGTGCATAACTAGTAGAGAGGACAGTAATTCCCTAAGACAAAATAACTCATTAGGAGACGGTTTCAATAAAGCAATAATCCAGCCTGACATTCACACTGAAGAAGTTTGTGATAGATCGCAATTTCCTGAAGCCCGGTCATATGGGCTTAACATGCAGATCAAGGAGGGGGGCCGTTCATTTCCCATGGGAGGGGCCGCCCAAGCCGCTCAGCAGTCTGAGAGCGATCTCAAACACCAGCCCAAAAAGCGACGGGGCCTCTTAATGCACCGGCAGTCCAGCCCATCTTTCAAAGACGCGGCTTCACCTACAAAGGCTGAGCTCAGACCAAACAGCACTGCGGTGAATTGTGCAAGAAAGAATCAGACTAAACTCATGCTTAACTACTGGGGTTTTTTAAAACTACGGATATGGAGAAATACCGACATCAGGATTGGCAACTAAACATAGCACCCAGAGGCAGCAGATAGCAATGTGGTCAACAGCCTGGACCCCTCACCAAGAGGTTGTTGGTTCATATCTCAATCGAAGCACAGCTAGTTTCCATTAACAAAAGATACCTTAACAAGAATTGCTTGTTAATCTCTCTCCATAAAAGGTATGTAAGCTGTCTATGTTTTGTTTTTATATGTACATTTGAGTATGACACTGTAACTGCTATTACCAAAACCACTACCAATAACAATAATAGTATGAGACATTCCTAAGGGTGAAACACCATAGTACACAAATACTGATGTTATTTCATATGGTCAGAGGAGCAATGGGACATCAGCAGTGACAACAGGTACCAATGAATGGATGACCACTAAAGGCACTACTGTCAGACTGAATAGAGGGTCAGGGTGATATTATTGTGCAGACAGGCTACAGGAAGTCAGTGAGCTGGCACTTCCTGACGGGATCAAGTCTTGTAATAGTACTGATTCAGTTGCACAACAGCAAGATGTTATTTTGTGCTTCTCCTTTCAGCAACTAGTGGAACAAAAGAACGTAAAAGTGAAAGGGGAAAATAAAAAAAATACAACTTCTTGAAGAAGAATCATCCGCATGCCATTTAACTTACGGAGACACGGGCTGTGAGGTGCCAAAGTGAATGACAGACACTCCATGACCATCAGCTCTGCGGCTGCCTTGCTCTGCTCAAACACACGCAGCTCAGTCTCAACATGTCAAAACGCATTCAGATGGACTCACCCATTGAGCTTGAGTTGGTCCTTCAGGTCCAAATGTGTTCCCATTGCACCAACCCCAAGAGTACAGCAAGAGGTCTGCCAGAGAAGTGAACTTTAGGAAACAAGTTTCAGTTTAACTAAATAAGACACAACAGACTGATCTGGTTGAATAGCCTCTCCCTGAGTGATCTGCGTGCCTCTTTCGGCTCAACCTCTCTGTCTGTACAGGTTTTTCTGCATTTTGTTGCAACCTGCCGGAGCGACACCCCATTGGTCCAGCTCACCTGGGCAGCCCTGTTCTCCCACAGGCATCACATCGTTCAGCAAGGGAGGAAGGAGAGAAGGTGCCTTAGCAGCAGGGAGCCTCATGGTCCTAAAGCCTGCCTGTTTACTTAGGCATATTCGTCACCATTATGAATTAATTAAATCCAGAAATGTCTGAAAAGCAGAGAGGTATAAGTTGAAGCCTAAGCTTATTATTGCCACCCTGTATTTTCAAAGCAAAATTACGATTTTATCCCTTTGTAAAAACAGCAGCTTGAAACACATAAGTCAAAATGCAAACAAGAGAAATACATAGCAAATTGCAATCATTTGTAATCAATACATGACTACAGTCAGTCCCCAGGTTACAGACAAGATCCAGTCCCTAAATCCAGTTTAAGCCAGTTGTAGGTAAGTCAGAACAACAATGATAACAATAATTACACACAGTAATAGGGGGGCATGGGGGTGCAGTGGTTAGCACTGTTGCCTCACACCTCTGGGACCAGCGTTCGAATCTCCACCTGGGTCATGTGTGTGAACCCATGTTGTCGTGGGCTAATTGGAGTTACTAAATTGTGTCAGTGTGCCCCCCTCCTCTGTAAGTCACTTTAATGTTTCTTTTGAGAAGACTTACTCACTTCTCCTATTGTTGCTTGCCATTTTTCTTTTTTAATAAGGAAGCAACATCACCTTTTGAGGCCATTTATATATTTTCAACAGGTTAATTTATTTTGGTCACTGACAACTTCCGGTCTTGAGCGCATCTGGCCGCTGCTTGCATTAACTTGCATTAGGGTAACGCCTATAGACACCCGCCTCTTTCCTGCATGAGTGCCCTCCCTTTGCTCCTGCTCTCTGACTGCAGCTGCGGTGAGTCCCCCCCCCCTCCCCCCCACCTCATTGCTGTCACCAGTTTAGATTGCTAAAAGTGGCAGGTTTGCTGCTTCACTTTTCTCAATATTAAGCTAAGCTGACTAGTAAGTCTTGGATTGGCTGACGTGTGCAGTCCGATTGCCATGCTGGTGTTTGCTCTCCTTACTGGTTTTGTCATCAGTGTTGTTGGTATGTGGATCTTCATTACTCATCTTAGTCTACAGCCTGGAGTTTCTGCTGCATACGTTTGTTTTTACAGTCTGGCAATACAGCTCGTATACTCTCGGGTCGAACTTAAGCATCTTCACTGCCATTCCACATCTGCCTACACCTGTCTCTCATGGCCGTGTCGACTTTAATCTTGCCCTTTTGAATGCTCGTTCCATAACTAATACAGCTTATCTGATCAATGGCCTCATTATCCAGAAGAAAGTGGACGTGTTTTGTCTTTTAGAAACTTGGCAACAACCTGGCGGCTATTTACATTAGAACATGTTGACACCCCGGGGCTATGAGTACCTATCTAAACCCCGCTTAACTGGAAGAGGGGGTATCTTGGCTGTCATTTATCGATCTACTATAAAAATTAAAGAACTTTTGACTATATTGCTCTGAAGGTTGTTTCTTCCCCTCTGTTGGTGCAGTTCTTAGTATATCACCCTCCTAAAACTTCTGCTAACTTCCTGCCAGATTTTAATGAACTCCTCACACTTATCTCTCTGCCGTTCCGTTATTGTTCTTGCTGACTTTAATATCCATGTTGACACTAACTGCTCCTACACGTCCGAGTTCATGTCAGTCTACGAATGTCTTAATTTCACACAGCATTTTAACTTTCTTACTCACATTCATGGTCATATCCTTGATTTGCTCTCTTCTAAAGGTTTGAATGATCTTTCCGTCTCTGGTATTTCTGATCATAAGCGTATGGGATGCAGCCGAACATTGCTGCTCCTCCTCCCGTGAAGAAAATCTCTGTCACATACCGCAAAGAAATCTGTTGATTCTAATCTCTCTGCTGGTTCTCTTCTATCCTCTTCCCGGTCTTACATACACTCTCTTCTCTTGATACTATGGTTTCCTTCTATAATGATACCATCTCTGGATTGCTTAATGATCTAGCCCCTCTAAAGACTAGGCTGATCCCATCCACTCGCTCCGGTCCTTGGTTCACCCCTGAGCTCAGAATATTGAAGGCCACAGGCCGGTGTCTTGAACTCCTTTATAAGAAAACTGGTCTCACCATGCACATGCTTTTACACACTGAGCACATCCACAAGTATAGGGACGCCCTAAATACTGCTCTGTCATTTACTTACTCCTCCATCATAAGTAGTGCAACATCTAGTCTCAATACACTCTCCTCCATGGGCTCTCCTCCCAATACGCTGATTGCATCTCAGATTTAAAGCTTGGACTACAGGGCAACTTTCTCTAAGCACAGACAGAACTGAAGTCTTACGGTTCTGCCATAAATCATTAGTATCAGTATTGATGGTGTCTCTGCAAAACCTGCTGCTATTATGAGAAATCTATGGGACTCTTTTCCAGTCTCTGACTGCTCTTCCTTCACATCTGAACTAAAGACATTTCCCTTCCATGAACATTTCGCTACAGTCTCTTCCTGATTATTGATTTTTTTCCTCTCCCCCCCATAAAGTGACCTTGGATTTGTGAAAGGCGCTATATAAATGTAACCTATTATCATAATCATCTTTGGTTGCTTTCATGTGTTCCTATTGATTTTCTAGTTTTTATATATATATATATATATATATATGCATGTGTCTGATGTGACAATCATAACAGTGTTCACCATTGAAATACATGGAATTGATATTGTTATTGACAGTGCTTTTCTGATGCAGAGGCTGGAGAGGACCCAACAAAGTACTACTTTGTTAATCGTGGAATAACAGGGTTTTGGGCAACACTCATGAAGCTCACTCGTTTATTTACCTACCTCATACATTATCTTGTTTGAGATTCAGTAAGACTGATTGCTTTCGGAAGATGCACAGTTCTCTCCATTTCAACTCCTCAGCCTGCCCAAGGGGCGAAAGCACGGCTCGTCCAGGACGAAACCGGCCTGCCCCCAAGGGGCGACAGCACGGCTCGTCCAGGATGAAACCGGCCTGCCCCCGAGGGGCGACAGCACGGCTCGTCCAGGACGAAACCGGCCTGCCCCCGAGGAGCGACAGCAGGGCTCGTCCAGGACGAAACCGGCCTGCCCCCGAGGAGCGACAGCAGGGCTCGTCCAGGACGAAACCGGCCTGCCCCCGAGGCCTCCCTTCTGCGACAGCAGAGCAGTATAGAGCTGCCCACTCTACCTCAACACAAAGGCCAGCAGCAAAATGCCTGACATCTTACAAAACATAAATTTTCCCTCTGCAGCACAGTTCAGACAGCATGCGGCTCAGTGCGCTAAGCCCTCATGCCTGCGATGAAAAGGCCTCCCGTCTGAGCCCGGCCTCATCAGAACAGCTACATCCATGGGCCCTTTAACGAGGCCTTTAACCCCCAGCTCCAAGGGCACTACAGGAGGCTGCTCTTTGCACTCATCTATATGGGGATCACAGAGAGCAAGCCAGAGTAGGCGAGAAGAGAATTTACCCACAGGGATCAATGTGGTGTTATGATTATTATTAAGCCAACATATAATCTCATCTCAAAGGGATTGCAGGTGTATTTTGTCATTCACTAATTTGGATAATTTAGTGAATGTTGAACACGGATGTTGAAAATTAGATGCTCTTGTGTTTTTTCAGGTGCAAGTGTATTTGAAATATAAACAGGTGAACAAACAAATCAAACCCTGTATTAGACATTAAAAGGCAGAAGATTTTAAACAAATTCCAGAGTTAAAATTTTATTATATCAAAAAATTACAGAGTGGACAATAACTAGCCGTCATTATCATCAGATTACTCATATGAATACTAGGTGTAGGGAAGACCACATTACAAGTGGAGAACTTTTTTTTTATATTTAGTTGAAAATACTCTTCCATGTTTTTGTTTGGTGAACTGATCATTAGTCAGTTGTGTTATACAAACAGAAGTCATGGACTACTCCTTTAAAAGTACAGATCTGAACTCCAATTTATGCAAGTTGGATCTCTCCAATAAATTTTGAATAAATGACAAACCACATTTCAAGTTATACAGGATTTCATAGATTGATTAGTAATTATAATTTGATCATCATATAAATACCTTTTATTTAGGCTGGAAAAAAACTTAGGTCAGCTATAAATATATACTGGGTATCGCATTAATACAGTTAATACCATATCCAAATTTTGTTCTTAAAAACTTACGGTAGAGAAAGTTCATTTTAAAATATTTTACAAACTTGCTTCCTCATAAAAAGTATAAAAGTCTTGAATGCCTATTACAGTATTTCCATGAACGGGACAAAATGTGCTCTTTAAAACAATGTTTAAAAATGCTCATCATTAAAGTAACCAGAAATAGCTGGATGACCCTACCCCAATACTCAGGCTACAAGCAGGTAGTCTCAGTAAGGCAGGTATGCCTTTACAATTCACCACAGTAACACGTCTTAGCACTAGCTGCTGTGTTGTAGTGTCCGATGCAGTAGCAGATACCATGGAATGCCGGCCTATTTAGCACGTCTGCCTTGGTGTGGGCATCCTGCATTCAAAGTGCCAAAACATCCCCCTCCGCCTAGATCTTCTCCACATAGTTCCCAGGAAACATCCCTTCTTTCCCTCTCAAACGCCCAAGCCACCAGCCTGATGGATCTAGGAGGGAGAAAAGCATGCATACATGGGTTTAAGCACAAGGAGCAATGCAGGGTATGCAGGATGTAGCCCTGTGATGGACTTATTTAGCTGGTTACATGCATGTTTTATTTATAGTAAAATAGTCTGCTAGATTCTCAGAGCAAGCACATTGCTGTAGGGCCATGGATATCCATCGATTAAAAGATAATGATTCACAAAAGTGAATACCTTCATTTATGATGTCAATTATGTCTGCTGCGTTAAAGCTTAGCTCATCTGTGTCCTGGGCATCGTAGGCATACAAAGCACGGCACTGTGGCGAACGAGGTCTAGGTTTGGGTCGGCCTGCTCCCGGTTCTGGCTTGTATTCTTT